TCTTCAGGTCCAACTCCCAATCCAGAAAACACTCAGGCAACTCAACATGTAGAAACCATGACTAAACAGAAAGAAAAGTACATCTCTCTCGCAGACAACTCTTCCTTCAGAACCAGCGACTTACCTGCAGCATCACTGCTTGCCTCTCCAGAAAAGAAACATTTTCAGGGGAGGGGAACTGGTCTAAAGGGACATTTTCCCTTAACATTATCAGAGAATTCTGGGCAAGATGGATAGGAAAAAATGGCCTGCATGCTGCAGAAGCCTCGCAATCACAGCACAGTGCACAGTGCTCCACTAAGCACTTTGATCCCAGGGGAAGCAGGAGGGACACCTGCAAGCTAAGGACATTCTCTCCATGTCAACCTCCGCTCAGGAGACTCCCAAAGCCATCCCCCACACTGATGGCCAACGGCCTGAAACTCTGACACCCAACACCTGCCAAAATTCAGCGGTCTGCATTTCATCCATGTTACCGATATGAGAGAAAGAAAAGAAAAGTAAATACAGAGATGGTAGTTTTTGGCAAGAGGAGAGAAGAAATCCAAAGGATCCCATTCTGCCGTATCAAAGCACAAGTTTGTCAACTTCTCGAATATGAAGAGCACTTGTTCAGCTGCCTAGCAAGACTGAGAGCAGAGAGGTAACCAAGGGGAGGTTCAGAGAAGGCTGGCCAAATTTGATTGACATTGGAAAAAGCTTCAGTTTAACAAACACCCTTCCCCATCCAAAGTAAGGGCTCCAAGCTGTGTAGGGCAGATGTCTTCTCGTCTGACAGGAGTAGTACGGAGAACACCAAGGTGCGGGGATTTGCAGTACTTCTGGAGGTCCTCAGAGGATCCCAGGCAAGCACCAACGGTGCAACGAGCATCTTCCCAAGGTTTTCTACTGGAATCCTCTATCCCAATCCCTGGGAAATGGGATCTCCAGCTAAGCAGACATTCCCCAGTTCTTCCCCAATGACACAGTCCATGTTCTACACAGAATCTCCATTTCTTCAGGATAGACTCTTCCCCACTAAGAGTCAACCTTCCCCAAACGGATGCCCCAAGCCCCACTCTGTGGCACTCAGAGGATCGCTGCCACAGTACCCACACGTGGTTCCACCACACCACCATGCCCCAGCAGTAACACCCACATTGAGCATGATGTGGGTTGTCACACATCCTCAAATTCCCCCACCACTGGCACAAAGAACTTATGGATGGATACAAAGCCACACAGTGTATCTGGGGTTCTTCCCAGCTGCGTAAACTACATCAACTACCTTGAACCTTTCCAGCAACCTCAGATGGAAACACCACAGTGCTGCACATTTGAGTTCTTAAAGATGATGTGATTAGAGGTGTGACACATCTGATCCCAAATGTGAAAGCACAAATGCATACACGAGGTCAACTGGATGGGAGAATTTTCAAAACCAGAGCTGGGCTGTTGTAAGGGATTTTGCATATACGTACATGTATCTGAGTTAAGCATGACAAGGGGACACACCATCACTTCTGAGGCCGACTCTGCAAGTGCACAAGTAGGGGAAAGCAAGCACACACAGATTACACCCACCTCCTCATCCCATCCACTTACAAATCCTGCCTGAGGAAGAGCAAGGAATCCTCATGGCAACAGTAACAGATGTGGAAGCTCTTCCACTACACAAGCACAGCAGGCTGAAGCACGACCCTCCCATAACACTCCTCTCAAAATAAGCGGGAAGTGCTTCATCAGACCACGTTCAGCAGTCAATCCCGTAGCAGCACTGGTGACTGTCTCTGGTGGGAGATATTCCTAACCTCAATGGACATTGTGGGCATCTCAATACCCTGTAACAATCTCAACCTCCAGAAGGACTCCAACTCCAGACCCTTGGAGTCTGGGAATGGACCCTGAGAAAGAACACTCTCTGTGCATCCTGCCTCATGCTTTCGGCTAGGCATCCTCCAGTCCCCACTCTGCTGGTACATGTATTCTCAGGATAAGCAGATCACCTCCCTTCTTGGCTTTTGGCATGGTCCATGGTCTTCCCAGTGGTTTCCACTTCCCTCAGACAAGTCTTCCCATTGCTCAAAGTCAACCCTCACATCAGGAGATGCCCAGGCCCTACTCAGTGCCACTCCCACATTCACCTCCATGAAACTGCCACAGTTTCCTTTCAGCCCAGCGCTTGTGGCCTCCTTCATCTAGGACACCACCATGGAAAAACATACAGATCATATCGCATATGCCGTGTCCAGCAGACTCTACACAGCTTACCCGTCATGTTTGGCAATGCTTCAGTAATCTCAGATGGAAATCTTACGCACAAAGGACCACTTTTATTTCCAGAGATAATCAGACAACAGAGAAACATTTGTGTTGGAAACAACCATTGAGAGTATCGAGTCCAATCATTAACCTGTCAAGTCCACCACTAAAGCATGTCCCTAAGCACTACGTGTTTTAAATACCTCCAGGGATGGGGACTCAATCACTTCCATGGGAAGCCCCTTCCAATGCTTGACAACCATTTGTGGTTTAGAAATTATACCTACTCTCTAATCTAAGCCTCCGCCGGAGTAACCTGAGGCTGTTTCCTCTCATCCTATCACTTGGCACTTGGTGAGAGAGACCAACACCCACCTCGTTACAACCACCTTTCAGGTAGATGTTGGAGTCTCCCCTCAGTTTCCTCATTTTCACCAGATTAAAAAAGAAAAAAAATAGTTCACTCAGCAAGTCCTCCTAGAAAGCCCTTGATCTCTAGACCTGCTTCACTGTTCCTCTCGGTACACGCTTCAGCACCTCAACGTTGTTCTTGTAGCAAGTGGCCAAAACAGAACAAAGCATTCAACATGCAGCCTCACCAGTGCTGAGTACAAAGGGACCATCACTCCCCTAGTCCTGCTGGCCAGAGTATTTCTGATATAAGCCAGGATGCTACTGGCCTTCTTGGCCACCTGGGCACACGGCCAGCTCATATTCAGCCGGCTGTCCACCAACACCCCCAGCTCCTTTCCCACCAGGCAGCTTTCCAGCCACTCTGCAGGGACGCCCGAACTACGTGATCTTTAAGGTCCACTCCAACACAAACCATTCCATCACTCTAGGATCACGGCAACATCAGCAGCTGAGGAAGCTGCTGTAGATGCCCACCACTATGCAAGGACAGCAGTTTGAAGCGCTACCCTCCCACAACAGCTTTCTGAAAACCTGAGGCAAAAGGTTCATCAGACAGCATTCAGCAGCCTGCATGTCACCCCTCCCACCAACACATTGCCCCCGGCAGGCAGGCAGCAGCGTGAGGGCCTGTCTCTGGTGGCAGATATTCATACAGCATTGGGGGCATTTCAATACCACACACAATCTCAACATCCGCACGGCCTCCAGCTCCAGGCCCTTCGAGCCCGGGAAAGGATCCTGGCCACGAACACTCCGTGCCCATCCTGCCTCATTCTTTCCTCCAAGCATCCTGCATCCCCCACTCAGCGACATGCCTTCTCAAGACAAGCCGAACAAACCCTTTGCTGGTCTTGCAATATGTCCCATGGTCTTCCCAAGGATTTCCAGTTCCCGCAGACAAGTCTTCCCACCGATCAAGGTCACCCTTCGCATCAGGAGATGCCCAGGCCCTGCTCAGTGCCACCGCCACACTCCCCTCCGTGACATGCCACAGTTTCCTTTCACACCTCCAGCTTCAAACCAACTATGGCTTACCCTGGCCATCTATGAGAGCACCAGAAAAAACACACAGAGGTATCACATCCACGGTGTCCAGCAGGCTCCTGCTGCTGACCCATCATGTCTGGCAACACTTCAGCTATCGCAGCTGGAAACATGGCAGGCCTGGCAGCAATACTCTTTCTAAAGGTGATGTCAGGACAGCTCTAAATGGCAACGGCATTGATTTCACATTCTGAGAGAAAAAACAAATCGCTGATGAGCACGCTACCGAAATGGATGATACCGACTGTGGAGGAGAATTTGAATTGGATTTAGTGGGGGCTCAGCAGATCTTTGGGTTTGGGGTGTTTTTCTGTGTTTTGTTTTGCTTTGCTTTTTTCAGAAAAGAGTATTTCCAGGGCTTTTGAAACAATATGGCTCATGACGGAAGTTTGAATGAACATTAAAACCAGCCAGCGTATTTCATGCTACTTCTCTCGCAAACAACAAAAGTCCACAACGAGGGGGACACATGGAGCAGGAAAAGAAAAAGAAAACTCCCGTTTCAAACACACTCACCTTAGGTGAAACTCCTCTGCCTCAACAATTTACACTACTAAGTAGAGCAACAGGACAGTTTCAAAAAGAACAGAGGAAAAGTCCCTGTGGCTTCCCCTGCTTTCAGAATGACTCCGATGACCCAACTCAAATGGAGAAATGACACCACGGGGAGTGAAAACTCTCAACTCCCTGTTGCCACCTTCCATCCCGTCTCTTGCAGAGAACGAGGGGAGGGGTTTCAACAACGCTGACGCAAACACTGTCAGCAGTCAGCAGAGGCAATAGGCAGTAAGTAGTGCCCGGGCGACTGTCACCACCCCAGCCTGAGCGTCTCGGGTCAATCAGACAGTATTCAGCAGTCTGCGTGTCACCCCTCCTAATCAACACGCCGCCCACGTCATTCAGGCACCACCACAAGGTTCTGTCTCTGGTCGAGGACCTTCGTTACCTCCAAAGACATTGTGGGCATTTCAATACCACGCGCTAGCTCGAGAGCCAGGAGGCCTCCAACGCCAGACCCTTGGAGCCTGGGAAAGAAAGGATCCTGGCCAGGAACGCTTTCTGTTCTTCCTGCCTCGAGCTTTCCTCCAGGCATCCTCCACTCCCCTCTCTGCGACTCGCCTTCTCAAGATAAACACCTCATCTCCCTTTCCTGTGTTAAGACATAGCCATGGTTTTCCAGTAATTCCCAATTCCCACAGACAAGTCTTCCCACCGTTCCAGGTCACCCTTCGCAGCAGGAAATGGACAGGCCCCACTCAGGGCCACCGCCACATTCACCTCACACTCCCGTGGCTTCAACACTCTCAGATGGAAATGCTACAAACCTGGGAGCAATGCTACTTAGAGAGGGGATGTCAGCACAACACTGAGAGCAACAGGCACTGCGTTCATGGTGTCAGAAAACAACCCCAGGTATTGACAAGCCAACCAGTCTCATCAATGATAAATACCCTGTAGAAGGATTTGGTGTTGACCTCTTGGGGTGAAGTATTTTGGGTCGGCTGTTTCGCTTTGGGTTTTTTTGTGTGTTTGGGGGTTTTGCTTGTTTATTGTTGGTTCGTTTTGTTTTGTCTTTCTACTGTTCTGTCTGTTCTTTCTACAAGAGGATTTGCGAGTGTTTTTTCTCAAGCTGTGGCTTCCGAATCAAGTGTTGAAAGACCATCAAAGCAGGGCAGCATATATCCCACTTGTGCTCTGGCCAAGAAGGCAGCTCCCCAGCCCGAGAGCTGGGCGGAGCAGGGACAGAACATTTCCCCTCTGCAAACCCTTCGCGGGGGGACGCTCCTCCTCCTCCAGGTAACTCACACGGCTAAACGCAGCTTCGACGCCCTGCGGGAAAAAAAGCCCGCGCCGCCGCCCCTGCTTTCGGAATGACTCTGCTGCAGAGCTGCGAGCCCCCGCTGCGGGCGGGAACCGCTGCTGGGTGCGGCGACACCTTCGCCGCCCCCCCCGGCCCCGCCAGAGCCGCGGGGCTCCCCAGAGGACGCGAGGGCAGAGGCCGAGGTGCCGGTGCCACCCGCCACGCACCCCCCGCCCGCGGGCCCCGGGGGCTGAGCCCGGCTCCCACCAGCGCCCGCCCACGGCACGCGCGGCGGAAGGGCGGGAGGGGGGAAGGAGGGAAGGAGGGAGGGAGGGAGGGAAGGGGCGGGAGGCGACAGAGGGAGGGCCACTGACCGTGTCCGGCGGAGCGGGCGGCTCCGGCTGCGTCTCCTTCGCCGCGGGGCCGGGCGGCGGCGGGAAGTTGGGGCTGAAAACCATCAGGTCGCTCTTGCCCGCGCCGTCCGCCACGCACAGGCTCCGGCTCTGCCGCTGCGAGTACGACCAGCTCCCCACTTCGCTGGCGCACACCAGCGTCGCCGGCCCGGGCCCCGCCAGCACGGCCGCCCGCGGCGCCCACCGCGACGCCCCGTACAGCACCACCGCCAGCAGGAACAGGCTCGACACCGCGCAGATGGCCACCACCAGCCACACGTTCGTCGCCGCCGCCGCCGCCGCCGCGCCGCCCTCCGCGCCCGCCGCCGGCCGCAGCCCCGGCCCCGACGACCACGACGACCACGACGACGACGAGGAGCCCGCGGCCGCCAGCGCCGCCTCGGCGCCCTCCACCAGCGACACGCTCAGCGTGGCCGTGGCCGAGCGCGCCGGCTCGCCGTGGTCGCGCACCACGATCACCAGCCGCTGCCGCGGGCCGTCCGCCTCCTCCAGCGCCCGCGCCGTGCTCACCTCGCCGCTGTACAGCCCCACGCGGAACGGGCCCTTCCCCCGCGGCTCCCACAGCTCGTAGCGCAGCCACGCGTTGTAGCCCGAGTCCGCGTCCACCGCGCGGATCTTCGCCACCACCTGCCCCGCCGGCGCCCCCCACGCCGCCCACGCCCACAGCGCCTCCGAGCCCCCCGCGGCCCCGGCACCCGGCCCGCCGCCGGCGGGCGGCAGCAGCGCCGGCGCGTTGTCGTTCTCGTCCACCACGAAGAGCTGCACCGTGGCGTTGCCGCACAGCGGCGGCTCCCCCGCGTCCACCGCCCGCACCTCGAACTGCAGCACCTGCACCTCCTCGTAGTCCAAGGGCCGCAGCGCCCGCAGCCGCCCGCTCTCCGCCTCCACCGACACGTAGCTCGACGCCGCCCGCCCCCCGACGCCGCCCTCCGCCACCGAGTAGCTCACGCGCCCGTTGCCCGCCTCGTCCGGGTCCCGCGCCCACAGCCGCGCCAGCTCCGCGCCCGCCGCGTTGTTCTCCCGCGCCAGCACCGTGTACACGGCCTGCGCGAACGCCGGCGCGTTGTCGTTCACGTCCGACACCGGCACCCGCACCCCGCGGCTGGCGCGCAGCGGCGGCGCCCCGCCGTCCTCCGCCCGCACCTCCACCTCGTACTCCGACACCCGCTCCCGGTCCAGCGCCTCCCGCAGCACCAGCGAGTACGAGCCCGCGAACGTCGCCACCAGCCCGAACGGCGCCGCCGGCCACACCGCGCACCGCACCCGCCCGTTCGCCCCCGCGTCCCGGTCCGACACGCTCAGCAGCGCCACCACCGTCCCCACCGCCGCGTCCTCCGGCACCGGCACCGACAGCGACGTCACCCACACCTCCGGCGCGTTGTCGTTCACGTCCAGCACCTCCAGCTCCACGCTGCAGTGGCCCGACAGCGGTGGGAAACCTTTGTCTCTCGCTTCGATACGAAAATCAAATACAACGACTTCTTCAAAGTCCAGGGCGCCCGTGAGATGGATCTCCCCCGTCTTCGGGTTTACAGTAATCAAATCTCTGCCACTCAGGGGAATAAAGTTGGTTGCCGTGTAGGTCACATCACTGTTAATTCCCTCGTCCGGATCGGTGGCGTTCACACGCACCACCAGCGTCCCCCCCGCAGCGTTCTCCGGCAGCTGCACTTTATACACCGACTGGTTGAACTGGGGCGCGTTGTCGTTGGCGTCCAGCACCGAGATCACCAGCTCCATCGTGCCCGTCAGAGACGGCCGGCCCCCGTCACTCGCCGTCAGCAGCAGCCGATGCACGGGCTGCCTCTCGCGGTCCAGGGATTTCGTCAGAACAAGATCCGGTATAAAATTTCGCTCATTCAATTTTTTTAAATCCAGACCGAAGTGCTCGCTGGGGCTGAGGGTGTAGGAGAGCTGCGCGTTGGCCCCGATATCCGCATCCGACGCGCCCTCCAGCGGGAAGCGGGACCCCGGCAACACCGATTCCGCGATGCTGAGGTTCTTGCGGGCGGCGGGGAAGAGCGGCGCGTTGTCGTTGATGTCGGTGACCTCCAGCTCCACGTGGAAGACGCGCAGCGGCCGCTCCACCAGCACCTCCAGGCGCAGGGCGCACGGCGCGCTCTTCCCGCACAGCTCCTCCCGGTCCAGCCGCGAGCTCACCACCAGCGCCCCGCTCGCCCCGCTCACCTCCACGCTCGCCCGCCGGCCCTGCGCCACCAGCCGCAGCCGCCGCGCCTCCGGCTCGCCCGCCTCCAGGCCCAGGTCCTGCGCCAGCCGGCCCACCACCGTCCCGGCCTTGGCTTCCTCCGGCACCGAGTAGCGCACCTGCCCGCCGCCCAGCGCCCAGGCCGCCTGCAGCACCAGCACCCGCACCACGGGCCCCCAGCACCCGCCCATCGCCGCCGCCGCCCCCCGCCCGGGCCCCGCACGGCTCCCCGCCGCCGCCCGGACGCACCGGCTCGCCCGCCCGCCCCGCCCCGCCCCGCCCCGCCCCGCGCCGCCCCCCCGCGCTCCCAGCCGGGCTCCCCGCCGCACCGGCCCGGAGCCGCCGTTGCTGAGCCTGCAGCGACACCGTGTGCTGCTCCGCCGCCCGCCGCGCTCCCCGCCATCGCCCGCGCCGCCGGCCCCGACCCGCTCCGCTCCTCTCCCGGCCCTGCCCACCGGCCTCCTCTCGCCGCCGCTTCGCCGAGCTCCTCGCTGCTGCCTTTGCGCTCGCACACCCGCCTCGCTCGCCGCCTTCCTCTGCCGCCTTCCAGATTGCCTCCGCCGGCCCCCTTTTGATTTCTATCGCTTCCCCTTTCCTTCTTTCATTTTCTTCCTTCTCTTTTTCTATTTTCCTACATCTCTTGTTATTCTTCTTCTCTTTTCATATTTATGGTTTCTCAGTTCATTTCTCGTTCCTTCTTTCCCCTTCCCTCCTTCCCTTTTCCTCCTTCTCTTTTCCTCTTTGCCTCCTTTCGTCCTTTTATTTTCTTCTTTTTTTCTCTTCCTTCTTCTCTTTCCTCCTTTCCTCCTTCCCTCCTTCCCTTTTCCTCCTTCTCTTTATTCTCCTTTCTCCTTCCCTCCGTCTCTTCCTTCTTTTCCGTCTCCTTTGTCTCTTTCGTTCTTGCCGTACCGTGCGCTAGTAGTTACGCCCCTTTCCCTTCTCTTTCCATTCTTCTCTCTTTCTTGTCGCCGCTGGCAGATCAACAGCCGCCCCCCGCGGCGACCACCAAAGTCGGAGCCATCAGCACTAATTAGGGGCCATCAGCACTAATTAGGGGCTATCAGCGCTAAGTAGGGGCCAGCAGCACCGGAGCGCGGGGCTCTCACCCAGGCGGAACGACCAGCCCCGTTCACCGCCGAGAGGTAAGGGCGGGGCTCGCTGGTCTTCTGCATTACGGTCTCTTTCTTCCTTTCCGATCTTTGTCATATTCTTTCCTTTTCTCCCTTCCTTCCTTAATTATTTCCTTGTTTCATTCTTCCGACCGTCTTGCTTCTCTTCCTCTCTTTCCTTCTGTCTCTCCCTCAACACATCTCTGTGCACAGTTAGAGCGCCGCTGCATGCTAGTAAGCTCATTTATCCATTCTTCCTTTCCCTCTCTTCTTTCTCTCTATTTCTTGATTCGTTGGTCTCTGTTTTAATACCTCTACGTTCTTCCTTCCTTCCTTCCTTCCCTTCTTCCCACTCTTTCTCCTCGTTTTCTCTTCCAGGTATAGCCCCATCCAACCACAACCACACACACCCCCTCTCTTCTCTCTTTGCCTCTGCTTTCTCTCCTTAACCAATAGCTTATCTCGATGACTTCACCATGCTTGCCGTGAAGCACAGACATGTCCTTTGGCAACAGCTCTCATTCTTCTTCCCTTCTGATCTCCGTTCCTCCACATGGGGAACAAACTTCCTGCTTTGCTCCAGCCTATGCAAGACACACAGACTGTCCCTGCACCTCCCCTTCTGGAAGAAGACCACACTCTTCAGCCTCCGTCCACGAAGGAAGAGAATCCACCACGGCCTGAAACACAAGCCCAGGCCCCAGCTACTTCGACATCTGGGCAAAGAGGATCCAATGAGTCCAACCAACCCAGGGGACTCTTCCATTCGGGGGCTCGAGCCCAGCATAGCCCAGCAACACCAGGCTCCTGGAAGGCTGAAAAAGCACAAGGAAACCACAGCTCACGAGTACTCGTCATACACTTCGAGGAACAGCCAGTCTTCCGGCCTTCTTTTCCACTTGCATGACGAAAGAAAAGCTCATAATTCCCCTTTCAGGCAGGCATGTTCCAACAGAACAACAGTGCAAGAACCTTGGTACCCAGGGACAGGATTCCCCACAGAACACTCCTCACTTATCGCATGATTGACCCATCAAAAGCCACAAAGGTAAAACCATGCCATTTACACTGAGAACATCTCCTCCATGCCCAACACATCTGCTCCAAGAAACACATCAGGGTCCCTCCTCCACCCCTGCTTGCCGCCCCTTGCTCGCGCTCTGCCTGCAAGCAGCAAGAAAGGAATGAGAGCAGGCAGAGGTGCTTTGCTGGTCCAACCACAGAATCACAGAATAGCCCACGTTGGAAGGGACCCGTAAGGATCTTCAGGTCCAACTCCCAATCCAGAAAACACTCAGGCAACTCAACATGTAGAAACCATGACTAAACAGAAAGAAAAGTACATCTCTCTCGCAGACAACTCTTCCTTCAGAACCAGCGACTTACTTGCAGCATCACTGCTTGCCTCTCCAGAAAAGAAACATTTTCAGGGGAGGGGAACTGGTCTAAAGGGACATTTTCCCTTAACGTTATCAGAGAATTCTGGGCAAGATGGATAGGAAAAAATGGCCTGCATGCTGCAGAAGCCTCGCAATCACAGCACAGTGCACAGTGCTCCACTAAGCACTTTGATTCCAGGGGAAGCAGGAGGGACACCTGCAAGCTAAGGACATTCTCTCCATGTCAACCTCAGCTCAGGAGACTCCCAAAGCCATCCCCCACACTGATGGCCAACGGCCTGAAACTCTGACACCCAACACCTGCCAAAATTCAGCGGTCTGCATTTCATCCATGTTACCGATATGAGAGAAAGAAAAGAAAAGTAAATACAGAGATGGTAGTTTTTAGCAAGAGGAGAGAAGAAATCCAAAGGATCCCATTCTGCTGTATCAAAGCAAAAGGTTTGTCAACTTCTTGAATATGAAGAGCACTTGTACAGTGGCCTAGCAAGACTAAAGGAGAGAGGTAACCAAGGAGAGGTTCAGAGAAGGCTGGCCAAATTTGATTGACATTGGAAAAAGCTTCAGTTTAACAAACACCCTTCCCCATCCAAAGTAAGGGCTCCAAGCTGTGTAGGGCAGATGTCTTCTCATCTGACAGGAGTAGTACGGAGAACACCAAGGTGCAAGGATTTGCAGTACTTCTGGAGGTCCTCAGAGGATCCCAGGCAAGCACCAACGGTGCAACGAGCATCTTCCCAAGGTTTTCTACTGGAATCCTCTATCCCAATCCATGGGAAATGGGATCTCCAGCTAAGCAGACATTCCCCAGTTCTTCCCCAATGACACAGTCCATGTTCTACACAGAATCTCCATTTCTTCAGGAAAGACTCTTTCCCACTAAGAGTCACCCTTCCCCAAACGGATGCCCCAAGCCCCACTCCGTGGCACTCAGGGGATCGCTGCCACAGTACCCACATGTGGTTCCACCACAACACCATGCCCCAGCAGTAACGTCCACACTGAGCATGACCTGGGTTGTCACGCATCCTCAACTTCCCCCACCACTGGCACGAAGAACATATGGATGGATGGAAAGCCACACAGTGTCTGTGAGGCTCCTCCCATCTGCATAAACTACATCAAGAATACCTTGCACCTTTCCAGCAGTCTCAGATGCAAACACCACAGTGCTGCACGTTTCAGTTCTTAAGAATTCTGTCATTAGCCTGTGGTAGCTCTGATCCCCATACAAATTGATTTTATTCAAGAAAACCACAACAAATGCTGAAGTGCAAGTGCACTCACAGTGTCAGCTTGTACCACAGAAAACCAGAGCTCGGATGCTGTGAGGGATTTGGCATATACGTGCACATATGTGAGTTAAGCATGACAAGGAGACGCAGCGTCACTTCTGAGGCCGACTCTGCAAGTGCACAAGTAGGGGAAAGCAAGCACACACAGATTACACGCACCTCCTCATCCCATCCACTTACAAATCCTGCCTGAGGAGGAGCAAGGAACCCTCATGGCAATAGCAACAGATGTGGAAGCTTCCGTGGATGTCCACCACTACTCGAGCACAGCAGGCTGAAGCACGACCCTCCCACAACTCTCCTCTCAAAACCAGCGGGAAGTGCTTCATCAGACAATCCCTTTTCAGCAATCTCGGATGGAAACACCATGGGGCTCCATGCTAGAGTTCTTAAGGGCAAGTCTTCCTGACCAACCCAGTGACCTCCTGTGATATAGTGACTGCAGCAGTGGACAAGGGAAGAGCTATGTGTGTCGTCTAAGTGGACTTCTGTAAGGCCTTTGACATGGTCCCCCACAACATCCTTCTCTCTAAATTGGGGAGATACAGATTTGATGGACAGACCGGTCGGTGGATGAGTAATTGCCTGGACGGTCACAGGCAGAGGGTAGCGGCCAACAATGTCTAGATGGAGACCAGTGACGAGTGGTATCTCTCAGGGCTCCGTACTGGGACCGGTACTGTTGAATATCTTCATCAGCAACACAGAGAGCGGGATCGAGCGTACCCTCAGCAAGTTGGCGGATGACACCAAGCTGAGTGGTGCCACTGACACGCCTGAGGGATGGGAAGCCATTCAGAGGGACCTGGACAAACTCGAAAATGGGCCCATGTGAAATTCACGAGGTGCCACAAGGGCAAGTTCAAGGTCCTGTAGCTGGGTCTGGGCAATCCCGAGTATCAATACAGGCTGGGGGATGAAGGGATTGAGAGCCGCCCTGCGGAGAAGGACTTGGGGGTACTGGTGGGTGAAAAAACAGACATGAGGCAGCAATGGGCGCTCGCAGCCCAGAAAGCCAACCGTCGCCTGGGCTGCAACAAAAGAAGCATGGCCAGCAGGTTGAGGCAGGGGATTCTGCCCCTCTGCTCCGCTCTGGTGAGACACCACCTGCAGTGCTGTGTCCACATCTGGGGCCCTCAGCACAGGAAAGACATCGACCTGTTGGAGTGGGTCCAGAGGAGGCCACAAAAAACGATCAGAGGGGTAGAACATCTCTCCGATGAGGACAAGCTGGGAGAGTTGCAGTGTTTCAGCCTGGAGAAGAAAAGGCTTCATTTTGAAGGATCTATTGCTCTAAGCAAGGTGATTTAGATGGAGTTGTCCCTGCTCATTGCAGGGCAGCTGGAATAGATGATCTTTAAAGGTCCCTTCCAGCCCAAACTCTTCTGTGATTCCCAGGACACCCGACACAGCCACTCCAAGGAAAACATTAGGGTCCTTTCTCTATCCATGCTTCCTGCCAACCGTTCTAGCTGTGCCTGGAAGCGACAGGAAAGGAATGAGAGCTGGCAGTGGTGCTTTGCTGTTCCAGTACAGTCCAAATCTGATTACTCCAACATAAAGTTACTGTGACTAAACAGCAACAAAAGTACATCGGTCTCTTCAGATATGAGCAACTTACCTATAGCATCACTGCTTGCTCTTTCAGGAAAGAAACAATTTCAGGACAGCAGAGTTGCTTCTAAGCAACTTTCTGGGAAGCCAGAAAGAAGAAAAAACACTCATGTCCTCCAAAAGCTTTGAAATTACTGTACATTATATCACGTTCTCTTACGCACCTCTGTCACAGGGGAAGCAGTTGGCACACCTGAGAGATGATGATATTCTCCAAATGTCACACTCAGCTTAATACAGTGGAAAAAATATATCCCCTACACTGATGCCCGACCCCCCAATCCCCTGCAACCTGAGAGCTGCCAAAATTCTGCCATCTGTATCTCATTCACTGTTACCAACAGATTGCCAATGGGAGAAAAGGAAACACAAAAGAGTGGGAGTTTTTGGTAAGAGGAGAGGAGAAAACCAAAGGATCCCATTCCACTGTACTGAAATGTCGGGTTTGCCAACATCTCAGATATGGAGAGCATTTCTTCCTCTCCCCAGCAGGAAAGAGAAGCAGAGAGATGACCACGGGTGAATTTGGAAAGGCTTCTGTTTGACCAACAACACTCCCGATCAAAACCAAGTGATTAAAGGCAAGTATGGCAGATCTCATCGCCTCTAGCAGGAATACCACAGAGACAGGGGTGCAAGAATACGCAGCAGAACTTCTGCAGGCCCCGAGAGGATCCCAAGCAAGTAGCACCGTGCACAGGGACACTTCTCGAGGTTTCCTGCTGCCAACCTCTATTCTGTGCTGTGGGAAACGAGATCAGCTAAGCAACTGTTCTCCAGTTCTTCCCCAATGACACAGACCAGGTTCTACCCAGCATCTCCATTTCCCTCAGGCAACACTCTGCCTGGCTCAAGGTCACACTCCCTGTGATGCACGCCCAGGCCCTATTCACTGCAACTCCGAGCCATCATTGCCACAATACCCAGACATTGCTCCACCACAAGAACATGCCACAGCTCTAAAGCCCTCTTCTGAGCATAACCCAGGCCTTTGCACACCCTCATTTCCTCTCACAATTGTCACAAAGTATATATGGAGTGCTGCAAAGCCTCTCTGTGACTCTTAGATTCTTCCCAGCTGCCTGGACGCATTGCACCTTTTCAGCAATTTCAAACAGAAATGGAGTTCTTAAAGATTCTCTGGTTAGAGCCATGACCGCTCTGACCTCAGTCCACACAGCTCTTATTCTTCAAGAAGACCACCCCGTTGAACGTTGAAGTGCAATTGCACTCAGAGTGTCAACTGCTTAGGAGAATTGTGCCATAGGGAACCAGAGCTGAGCTGATCAGGATGGTTTGGCGTGTCCACCCAGGCATCCGAATGAGTCTTGGGCGATAACAGGACACACCATCTCTACCAAGGCTGATTCTGCAAGTGCACACTTACGCAAAGTTGAATACGCACAGATTGCATCCCCTTGCTCCAGCGTCCTTACACATCCTGCCTGAGGAAGAGCAAGGAACCATCATGGCAACACCCACGGACGTAGAAGCTACTATGGATGCCCGCCACTACACAAGGACGGCAGGCTGAACCGCGACCCTCCCACAAGCCCTTTCTCAAAACAAGAGGGAAAAGGTCAATCAGAAAGTATTCCGCATGAGGGCCTGTCTCTGGTGGCAGATATTCATACAGCATTGGGGGCATTTCAATACCACACACGATCTCAACATCTCACGGCCTCCAGCTCCAGGCCCTTCGAGCCCGGGAAAGGATCCTGGCCACGAACACTCCGTGCCCATCCTGCCTCATGCTTTCCTCCAAGCATCCTGCATCCCCCACTCAGCGACATGCCTTCTCAAGACAAGCCGAACAAACCCTTTGCTGGTCTTGCAATATGTCCCATGGTCTTCCCAAGGATTTCCAGTTCCCGCAGACAAGTCTTCCCACCGATCAAGGTCACCCTTTGCATCAGGAGATGCCCAGGCCCTGCTCAGTGCCACCGCCACACTCGCCTCCGTGACATGCCACAGTTTCCTTTCACACCTCCAGCTTCAAACCCACTTTGGCTTGCCCTGCCCATCCATGAGAGCACCAGAAAAAACACACAGAGGTATCACATCCACGGTGTCCAGCAAGCTCCTGCTGCTGACCCGTCATATCTGGCAATGCTTCAGCTATCGCAGCTGGAAACATGGCAGGCCTGGCAGCAATACTCTTTCTAAAGGCGATGTCGGGACAGCTCTAAATGGCAACGGCATTGATTTCACATTCTGAGAGAAAAAAAAACATGCTGATGAGCACGCTACCGTAATGGATGATACTGACTGTGGAGGAGAATTTGAATTGGATTTTGTGGGGGCTCAGCAGATCTTTGGGTTTGGGGTGTTTTTCTGTGTTTTGTTTTGCTTTGCTTTTTTCAGAAAAGAGTATTTCCAGGGCTTTTGAAACAATATGGCACATGATGGAAGTTTGAATGAACATTAAAACCAGCCAGTGTATTTCATGCTACTTCTCTCGCAAACAACAAAAGTCCACAACGAGGGGGACACATGGAGCAGGAAAAGAAAAAGAAAACTCCCGTTTCAAACACACTCACCTTAGGTGAAACTCCTCTGCCTCAACAATTTACACTACTAAGTAGAGCAACAGGATAGTTTCAAAAAGAACAGAGGAAAAGTCCGTGTGGCTTCCCCTGCTTTCAGAATGACTCCGATGACCCAACCCAAATGGAGAAATGACACCACGGGGAGTGAAAACTCTCAACTCCCTGTTGCCACCTTCCATCCCGTCTCTTGCAGAGAACGAGGGGAGGGTTTTCGACAACGCTGACGCAAACACTGTCAGCAGTCAGCAGAGGCAATAAGGCAGTAAGTAGTGCCCAGGCGACTGTCACCACCCCAGCCTGAGCGTCTCGGGTCAATCAGAGAGTATTCAGCAGTCTGCGTGTCACCCCTCCTAATCAACACGCCGCCCACGTCATTCAGGCACCACCACAAGGTTCTGTCTCTGGTCGAGGACCTTCGTTACCTCCAAAGACATTGTGGGCATTTCAATACCACGCGCTAGCTCGAGAGCCAGGAGGCCTCCAACGCCAGACCCTTGGAGCCTGGGAAAGAAAGGATCCTGGCCAGGAACGCTTTCTGTTCTTCCTGCCTCGAGCTTTCCTCCAGGCATCCTCCACTCCCCTCTCTGCGACTCGCCTTCTCAAGATAAGCACCTCATCTCCCTTTCCTGTGTTAAGACATAGCCATGGTTTTCCAGTAATTTCCAATTCCCACAGACAAGTCTTCCCACCGTTCCAGGTCACCCTTCGCAGCAGGAAATGGACAGGCCCCACTCAGGGCCACCGCCACATTCACCTCACACTCTCCCGTGGCTTCAACAGTCTCAGATGGAAATGCTACAAACCTGGGAGCAATGCTACTTAGAGAGGGGCTGTCAGCACAACGCTGAGAGCAACAGGCACTGCGTTCATGGTGTCAGAAAACAACCCCAGATATTGACAAGCCAACCAGTCTCATCAATGATAAATACCCTGTAGAAGGATTTGGTGTTGACCTCTTGGGGTGAAGTATTTTGGGTCGGCTGTTTTGCTTTGGGTTTTTTTGTGTGTTTGGGGGTTTTGCTTGTTTATTGTTGGTTCGTTTTGTTTTGTCTTTCTACTGTTCTGTCTGTTCTTTCTACAAGAGGATTTGCGAGTGTTTTTTCTCAAGCTGTGGCTTCCGAATCAAGTGTTGAAAGACCATCAAAGCAGGGCAGCATATATCCCACTTGTGCTCTGGCCAGGAAGGCAGCTCCCCAGCCCGAGAGCTGGGCGGAGCAGGGACAGAACATTTCCCCTCTGCAAACCCTTCGCGGGGGGACGCTCCTCCTCCTCCAGGTAACTCACACGGCTAAACGCAGCTTCGACGCCCTGCGGGAAAAAAAGCCCGCGCCGCCGCCCCTGCTTTCGGAATGACTCTGCTGCAGAGCTGCGAGCCCCCGCTGCGGGCGGGAACCGCTGCTGGGTGCGGCGACACCTTCGCCGCCCCCCCCGGCCCCGCCAGAGCCGCGGGGCTCCCCAGAGGACGCGAGGGCACAGGCCGAGGTGCCGGTGCCACCCGCCACGCACCCCCCGCCCGCGGGCCCCGGGGGCTGAGCCCGGCTCCCACCAGCGCCCGCCCACGGCACGCGCGGCAGAAGGGCGGGAGGGGGGAAGGAGGGAGGGAGGGAGGGAGGGAAGGGGCGGGAGGCGACAGAGGGAGGGCCACTGACCGTGTCCGGCGGAGCGGGCGGCTCCGGCTGCGTCTCCTTCGCCGCGGGGCCGGGCGGCGGCGGGAAGTTGGGGCTGAAAACCATCAGGTCGCTCTTGCCCGCGCCGTCCGCCACGCACAGGCTCCGGCTCTGCCGCTGCGAGTACGACCAGCTCCCCACTTCGCTGGCGCACACCAGCGTCGCCGGCCCGGGCCCCGCCAGCACGGCCGCCCGCGGCGCCCACCGCGACGCCCCGTACAGCACCACCGCCAGCAGGAACAGGCTCGACACCGCGCAGATGGCCACCACCAGCCACACGTTCGTCGCCGCCGCCGCCGCCGCCGCGCCGCCCTCCGCGCCCGCCGCCGGCCGCAGCCCCGGCCCCGACGACCACGACGACCACGACGACGACGAGGAGCCCGCGGCCGCCAGCGCCGCCTCGGCGCCCTCCACCAGCGACACGCTCAGCGTGGCCGTGGCCGAGCGCGCCGGCTCGCCGTGGTCGCGCACCACGATCACCAGCCGCTGCCGCGGGCCGTCCGCCTCCTCCAGCGCCCGCGCCGTGCTCACCTCGCCGCTGTACAGCCCCACGCGGAACGGGCCCTTCCCCCGCGGCTCCCACAGCTCGTAGCGCAGCCACGCGTTGTAGCCCGAGTCCGCGTCCACCGCGCGGATCTTCGCCACCACCTGCCCCGCCGGCGCCCCCCACGCCGCCCACGCCCACAGCGCCTCCGAGCCCCCCGCGGCCCCGGCACCCGGCCCGCCGCCGGCGGGCGGCAGCAGCGCCGGCGCGTTGTCGTTCTCGTCCACCACGAAGAGCTGCACCGTGGCGTTGCCGCACAGCGGCGGCTCCCCCGCGTCCACCGCCCGCACCTCGAACTGCAGCACCTGCACCTCCTCGTAGTCCAAGGGCCGCAGCGCCCGCAGCCGCCCGCTCTCCGCCTCCACCGACACGTAGCTCGACGCCGCCCGCCCCCCGACGCCGCCCTCCGCCACCGAGTAGCTCACGCGCCCGTTGCCCGCCTCGTCCGGGTCCCGCGCCCACAGCCGCGCCAGCTCCGCGCCCGCCGCGTTGTTCTCCCGCGCCAGCACCGTGTACACGGCCTGCGCGAACGCCGGCGCGTTGTCGTTCACGTCCGACACCGGCACCCGCACCCCGCGGCTGGCGCGCAGCGGCGGCGCCCCGCCGTCCTCCGCCCGCACCTCCACCTCGTACTCCGACACCCGCTCCCGGTCCAGCGCCTCCCGCAGCACCAGCGAGTACGAGCCCGCGAACGTCGCCACCAGCCCGAACGGCGCCGCCGGCCACACCGCGCACCGCACCCGCCCGTTCGCCCCCGCGTCCCGGTCCGACACGCTCAGCAGCGCCACCACCGTCCCCACCGCCGCGTCCTCCGGCACCGGCACCGACAGCGACGTCACCCACACCTCCGGCGCGTTGTCGTTCACGTCCAGCACCTCCACCTCCACGCTGCAGTGGCCCGACAGCGGAGGGGAACCTTTGTCTCTCGCTTCGATTTCCAGGTCATACGACTGAATGTCCTCGAAATCCAGCTCAGAGGCAGTCCGGATTTCCCCGGATTTTCTGTCAATTATAAAAAGGTCCTGGACTTTGGCAGAAACCGTCTCGCCAAACGAATAATATAGCTCCCGGTTAATTCCCTCGTCTCGGTCTGTCGCTGTTACCTGGAAAACCACAGTTCCCGGGGAAGCGTTCTCCGGCAGCTGCACTTTATACACCGACTGGTTGAACTGGGGCGCGTTGTCGTTGGCGTCCAGCACCGAGATCACCAGCTCCATCGTGCCCGTCAGCGACGGCCGGCCCCCGTCACTCGCCGTCACCAGCAGCCGGTGCACGGGCTGCCTCTCGCGGTCCAGCGGTTTCTTTAACAGGAGGAACACGGAAATTTTTTTTTCGTCTTTAGACTTCACATCCAACTCGAAATGCTCGCTGGGGCTGAGGGTGTAGGAGAGCTGCGCGTTGGCCCCGATATCCGCATCCGACGCGCCCTCCAGCGGGAAGCGGGACCCCGGCAGCGACAATTCCGCGATGCTGAGGTTCTTGCGGGCGGCGGGGAAGAGCGGCGCGTTGTCGTTGATGTCGGTGACCTCCAGCTCCACGTGGAAGACGCGCAGCGGCCGCTCCACCAGCACCTCCAGGCGCAGGGCGCACGGCGCGCTCTTCCCGCACAGCTCCTCCCGGTCCAGCCGCGAGCTCACCACCAGCGCCCCGCTCGCCCCGCTCACCTCCACGCTCGCCCGCCGGCCCTGCGCCACCAGCCGCAGCCGCCGCGCCTCCGGCTCGCCCGCCTCCAGGCCCAGGTCCTGCGCCAGCCGGCCCACCACCGTCCCGGCCTTGGCTTCCTCCGGCACCGAGTAGCGCACCTGCCCGCCGCCCAGCGCCCAGGCCGCCTGCAGCACCAGCACCCGCACCACGGGCCCCCAGCACCCGCCCATCGCCGCCGCCGCCCCCCGCCCGGGCCCCGCACGGCTCCCCGCCGCCGCCCGGACGCACCGGCTCGCCCGCCCGCCCGCCCCGCCCCGCCCCGCGCCGCCCCCCCGCGCTCCCAGCCGGGCTCCCCGCCGCACCGGCCCGGAGCCGCCGTTGCTGAGCCTGCAGCGACACCGTGTGCTGCTCCGCCGCCCGCCGCGCTCCCCGCCATCGCCCGCGCCGCCGGCCCCGACCCGCTCCGCTCCTCTCCCGGCCCTGCCCACCGGCCTCCTCTCGCCGCCGCTTCGCCGAGCTCCTCGCTGCTGCCTTTGCGCTCGCACACCCGCCTCGCTCGCCGCCTTCCTCTGCCGCCTTCCAGATTGCCTCCGCCGGCTCCCTTTTGATTTCTATCGCTTCCCCTTTCTCTTTCCTTCTTTCTCCTTTCCTCCGTCTATTTTCCTTCTTCTCTTTTCCTTTTTATCGTTTCCCTTTTCCTTTCTCTTTCTTCCTTCCCTTTTGCTTCTTCTCTTCTTCGTATCGTCTCTTTTCCTTTCTCTTACCTGCTTTCTCTTTTCCTCTTTCCTTCCTTTCCTCCGTCTATTTTCCTCCTCCTATTTTCCTTTTTATCCTTTATCCTTTCCTTTCTCTTTCCTTCATTCTCCTTTCCTCCGTCTATTTTCCTTCTTCTCTTTTCCTTTTTATCGTTTCCCTTTTCCTTTCTCTTTCTTCCTTCCCTTTTGCTTCTTCTCTTCTTCGTATCGTCTCTTTTCCTTTCTCTTACCTGCTTTCTCTTTTCCTCTTTCCTTCCTTTCCTCCGTCTATTTTCCTCCTCCTCTTTTCCTTTTTATCCTTTATCCTTTCCTTTCTCTTTCCTTCTTTCTCCTTTCCTCCTTCTCTTTTCCTCCTTTCCTCCTTCTCTTTTCTTCTTTTCCTCCTTTCCTCCTTCTCTTTTCCTCCTTCTCTTTATTCTCGTTTCTCCTTCCGTCCATCGTTTTCTGCTTTTCCGTCTTCTCTTTCTTCTCCATTTCGTTCTTGCCTTGCCGTGCCCTGCCCTAGTAGTTACACCACGTTCCCTTCTCTTTCCATTCTTCTTTCTTGTCCTTGCTGGCAGATCAACAGCCGCCCCCCGCGGCGACCACCAAAGTCGGAGCCATCAGCGCTAATTAGTGGCCAGCAACACCGGAGCGCTGGGCTCTCACCCAGGCGGAGGGACCCAGACCTGTTCAGCGCCGAGAGGTAAGGGCGGGGCGTGCTGCTCATCTCCTTTACGGCATTTTCCTTTCTTTCCTTCTCCCCGTCGTCATCTTCTTTCCTTTATCATGTTTTTGCTTCATTCTTTCCTTACACATTTATTTTTCTTCCACTCTTCCTCTCTTTCTTTCTTCCCTTTCTTCTCCCCTGCCTTCTTCTCTGCCTTCCTTTTCTTCCTTCCTTTCTCACCCTCAACATATTTCTGTGCACAGTGAGAGCTCCAGTGCATGCTAGAAAACTCCTTCATCGTTCTTTCCTTTCCCTCTCTTCTTTCTTTCTATTGCTTGCTTTCTTCTTCTTCACCACTCTTTCTCTACATTCTTCCTTCCTTCTCCTCTTCCCACTCTTTCTTCTCATCTTCTCTTCCACGTACAGCCCCGTCCACCCAGAACCACACACCCTCCACGTCACTTCCCTCTTTGCCTCTGATTTGTCCCCTTAACCAGCACCTTTTCTAGGTGAATACATCATGCTGGCCACAGAGCACAGACGTGCCCTTTGGCAACAGCTCTCATTCCTCTTACTATTGCTTTCCATTCCTCCACATCGGGAACAACCACCCCCTGAAACACAAGCCCCGGCTCCAGGTAGTTTGACATCTGGGCAAAGTGGCTCCAGTGAGTCCAACCAACCCAGGGGACTATTTAGATCGGGGACTCAAATGCATCACTGCCCAGCAAGACCACGATCCAGGAAGGCTGAAAAAGCTCAATCCATAACAAGCATCATGAATGAAAGCATGATGCATGACAAGCTCTCGCTTCCCCTTCAGGCAGGCATGTTGCCACAGAACAACAGTGCAAGAACCTCCGTAGCCAGGGGCAAGAGTCCCCACAGAACACGCCTCACTCATATATCATGGTCCTCCCATCAAAAGCCACAAAGGTAAAACCATGCCATTTACACCGAGAACATCTCCCCCATGCCCAACACATCTGCTCCAAGAAACACGTCAGGGTCCCTCCTCCACCCCTGCTTGTCGCCCCTTGCTTGCGCTCTGCCTGCAAGCAGCAAGAAAGGAATGAGAGCAGTCAGAGGTGCTTTGACAGTCCAACCACAGAATCACAGAACAGCCCACGTTGGAAGGGACCCGTAAGGATCTTCGCGTCCAACTCCCAATCCAGCCAACACTCAGGCAACCCAACATGAAGAGATCATGACTAAACAGAAACAAACAAACATCTCTCTCGCAGACTCCTCTTCCTTCGGCACCAGTGACTTACCTGCAGTATCACTGCTTGCCTCTCCAGAAAAGAAACATTTTCAGGGGAGGGGAACTAGTCTAAAGGGACATTTTCCCTTAATGTTATCAGAGACTTCTGCAGAAGGTGGATAGGAAAAAATTATATGCAAGCTGCAAAAGCCTCGCAATCACAGCGCAGTGCACAGTGCTTCATTATTCACTTCTATCCCAGGGGAAGCAGCAGGGACACCTGCAAGCTAAGGACATTCTCTCCATGTCAACCTCAGCTCAGGAGACTCCCAAAGCCATCCCCCACACTGATGGCCAACGGCCTGAAACTCTGACACCCAACACCTGCCAAAATTCAGCGGTCTGCATTTCATCCAAGTTACCGATATGAGAGAAAGAAAAGAAAAAGAAATACAGAGATGGTAGTTTTTAGCAAGAGGAGAGAAGAAATCCAAAGGATCCCCATTCTGCTGTATCAAAGCACAAGGTTTGCAAACTTCTTGACTATGAAGAGCACTTGTTCAGCTGACTAGCAAGACTGAGAGCAGAGAGGTAACCAAGGAGAGGTTCAGAGAAGGCTGGCCAAATTTGATTGACATTGGAAAAAGCTTCAGTTTAATAAACACCCTTCCCCATCCAAAGTAAGGGCTCCAAGCTGTGTAGGGCAGATGTCTTCTCACCTGACAGGAGTAGTACGGAGAACACCGAGGCGCGAGGATGTGCAGTACTTCTGGAGGTCCTCAGAGGATCCCAGGCAAGCACCAACGGTGCAACGAGCATCTTCCCAAGGTTTTCTACTGGAATCCTCTATCCCAATCCATGGGAAATGGGATCTCCAGCTAAGCAGACATTCCCCAGTTCTTCCCCAATGACACAGTCCATGTTCTACACAGAATCTCCATTTATTCAGGATAGACTCTTCCCCACTAAGAGTCACCCTTCCCCAAACGGATGCCCCAAGCCCCACTCCGTGGCACTCAGGGGATCGCTGCCACAGTACCCACACGTGGTTCCACCATACCACCATGCCCCAGCAGTAACACCCACACTAAGTACAACCCAGATCATAAAACATTCCCACCTTCCTCCGCGATTCTCACAAAGAACATATGGATGGATGCAAAGTCAAAAAGTGTCTCTGAGGCTCTTCCCAGCTGCATAAACTACATCAAGAATACCTTGCACCTTTTCAGCAGTCTCAGATGCAAACACCACAGAGTTGCACATTCAAGTTCTTAAGAATTCTGTTTTTAGCACTGGAGCAGCTCTGATCACAATACAAATGGATTTTATTTAAGAGAATCACAGCAAGTGCTGAAGCGCAAGTGCACTCACAGTGTCAGCTTGCACCACAGAAAACCAGAGCTCGGATGCTGTGATGGATTTGGTGTGTACGTGCACATATGTGAGCTAAGCATGACAAGGGGACACACCATCACTTTTGAGGCCGACTCTGCAAGTGCACAAGTAGGGGAAAGCAAACACACACAGATTACACCCACCTCCTCATCCCATCCACTTACAAATCCTGCCAGAGGAGGAGCAAGGAACCCTCATGGCAACAGCAACAGATGTGGAAGCTCTTCCACTACACAAGCACAGCAGGCTGAAGCACGACTCTCCCACAACACTCCTCTCAAAACAAGTGGGAACTGGTTCGTCAGGCCACGTTCAGCAGTCTGCATCTCATCCCAGCTTACAAACACATTTCCTACGTCAATCCCATAACAGCACTGGTGACTGTCTCTGGTCAGAGATACTCCAAATCTCAAAAGACATTGTGGGCATTTCAATACCTTGTAACAATCTCAAGCTCCAGGAGGCCTCCAACCCCAGACCCTTGGAAACTTGGAATGCACCCTGCGAAAGAACACTCTCTGTGCATCCTGCCTCATGTTTTCCTCTAGGCATCCTCCAGTCCCCACTCTGCTGGTACACGTGTTCTCAAGAGAAGCAGATCATCTCCCACCCTCGGCTTATGACATGGTCCATGGTCTTCCCACTGGTTTCCACTTCCCTCAGAGAAGTCTTCCCACTGTTCACAGTCACGCTTCACATGAGATGACCAGTCACTACTTACTGCCACTGCCACATTCCCCTTGATGAACATGACAGGGTTTCCAGTCCAGCTTTTGTGAACTCTTTGATCAATGAATGAACAATGGGAAAAATTACAGGTGATATCTCAGACATGGTCAACAAGCCAGGATGCTACTGGCCTTCTTGGCCACCTGGGCACACGGCCAGCTCATATTCAGCCGGCTGTCCACCAACACCCCCAGCTCCTTTCCCACCAGGCAGCTTTCCAGACACTCTGCCCCAAGCCTGTAGTGCTCCATGGGGTTGTTGTGACCAAGTGCAGGACCCAGCACTCAGCCTTGTGGAGTCTCTACAATTCGCCTCTATTCATCCCTTCAGCCAGTCCAGATCCCTCTGCAGAGACTTTCTACCCTCCAGCAGGTCAACACTCCCGCCCAGTAATTTACTGTCACCTGCAAATCTACATCGAGTGCACTTGACCCCTCACTCAGGTCACTGAGGAAGGTATTGGGATGAACCCAAACAAGGACACAGGGCTGGCAATGAGTGGATGGGGAGCAGCCCTGCAGAGGTGCCCTTTGGGCTACTGGTGGATGAAAAACTAAGTATGAGCCAGTAATGTGCACTCGCAGCGCAGAAAGCCAACCTTATCCTGGGCTGCATCAAAAGACGTGTGGCCAGTGGGTTCAGGGAGGGGATTCTCTCTGTCCACTCCACTCCTGTGACACCCCAACTGCAGCGCTGTGTTTGGCTCTCGAGCACACAGACTAAGAAAGACATGGACTTGCTGGAGTGAGCCCAGAGGAGGGACACCAAGGTAATCAGGGGGCTGGAGCACTTCTCCTATGAGGACAGGCTGAGAGAGTTGGGGTTCTCGAGAAGAGAAGGATCCAGGGAGCTCTGATAAAGACATTTCTGAACTTACAGGGGGGCTACGGGAAAGATGGGGAAGGACGTTTTAACTGGGACTGTAGGGATAGGATGAGGGGTAACAGTTCTAAACTGAAAGAGGGCAGTTTTGCAGTAGATATGGGAAAGAAATTCTTTGCTGTGAGGCTGGTGAGAATCGGCAACTGGTTGCCCAGAGAAGTTTTGCGTGCCCCGTCCCTGGAAGGATCCAAGGCCAAGCTGGACGAGGCTTTGAGCAACCTGCTCTAGTGGAAGATGTGCCCACTCATTGCAGGGAGGCCCGAACTACGTGATCTTTAAGGTCCACTCCAACCCAAACCATTCCATCACTCTAGGATCACGGCAACATCAGCAGCTGAGGAAGCTGCTGTAAATGCCCACCACTACGCAAGAACAGCAGATTGAAGCGCTACCCTCCCACAACAGATTTCTGAAAACCCGAGGGAAAAGGTTCATCAGACAGTATTCAGCAGCCTGCATGTCACCCCTCCCACCAACACATTGCCCCCGGCAGGCAGGCAGCAGCATGAGGGCCTGTCTCTGGTGGCAGATATTCATACAGCATTGGGGGCATTTCAGTACCACACACGATCTCAACATCCGCACGGCCTCCAGCTCCAGGCCCTTCGAGCCCGGGAAAGGATCCTGGCCACGAACACTCCGTGCCCATCCTGCCTCATTCTTTCCTCCAAGCATCCTGCATCCCCCACTCAGCGACATGCCTTCTCAAGACAAGCCGAACAAACCCTTTGCTGGTCTTGCAATATGTCCCATGGTCTTCCCAAGGATTTCCAGTTCCCGCAGACAAGTCTTCCCACCGATCAAGGTCACCCTTCGCATCAGGAGATGCCCAGGCCCTGCTCAGTGCCACCGCCACACTCCCCTCTGTAACATGCCACAGTTTCCTTTCATTCCTCAAGCCTCAATCCCACTTTTCCTTTCTCCATCATACCTCCAGCTTCAAACCCACTTTGGCTTACCCTGCCCATCTATGAGAGCACCAGAAAAAACACACAGAGGTATCGCATCCACGGTGTCCAGCAGGCTCCTGCTGCTGACCCGTCATGTCTGGCAATGCTTCAGCTATCGCAGCTGGAAACATGGCAGGCCTGGCAGCAATACTCTTTCTAAAGGCGATGTCGGGACAGCTCTAAATGGCAAAGGCATAGATTTCACATTCTGAGAGAAAAAACAAAATGTTGATGAGCACGCTACCGTAATGGATGATACCGACTGTGGAGGAGAATTTGAATTGGATTTTGTGGGGGCTCAGCAGATCTTTGGTTTTGCGGTGTTTTTCTGTGATTTGTTTGCTTTGCTTTTTTCAGAAAAGAGTATTTCCAGGGCTTTTGAAACAATATGGCTCATGATGGAAGTTTTGAAAGAATATCGAAACCGATTTTCACGCTACTTCTCTGGCCAGCAACAAAAGTCCACAACCAGGAGGACACATGGAGCAGGAAAAGAAAAAGAAAACTCCCGTTTCAAACACAATCACCTTAGGTGAAACTCCTCTGCCTCAACAATTTACACTACTAAGTAGAGCAATAGGATAGTTTCAAAAAGAACAGAGGAAAAGTCCGTGTGGCTTCCCCTGCTTTCAGAATGACTCCGATGACCCAACCCAAATGGAGAAATGACACCACGGGGAGTGAAAACCCTCAACTCCCTGTTGCCACCTTCCATCCCGTCTCTTGCAGAGAACGAGGGGAGGGTTTTCGACAACGCTGACGCAAACACTGTCAGCAGTCAGCAGAGGCAATAAGGCAGTAAGTAGTGCCCGGGCGACTGTCACCACCCCAGCCTGAGCGTCTCGGGTCAATCAGACAGTATTCAGCAGTCTGCGTGTCACCCCTCCTAAATCAACACGCCACCTACGTCATTCAGGCACCAGCACAAGGTTCTGTCTCTGGTCGAGGACCTTCGTTACCTCCAAAGACATTGTGGGCATTTCAATACCACGCTCTATCTCGAGAGCCAGGAGGCCTCCAACGCCAGACCCTTGGAGCCTGGGAAAGAAAGGATCCTGGCCAGGAACGCTTTCTGTTCTTCCTGCCTCGAGCTTTCCTCCAGGCATCCTCCACTCCCCACTCTGCGACTCGCCTTCTCAAGATAAGCACCTCATCTCCCTTTCCTGTGTTAAGACATAGCTGTGGTTTTCCAATAATTTCCAATTCCCACAGACAAGTCTCCCCACTGTTCCAGGTCACCCTTCGCAGCAGGAAATGGCCAGGCCCCACTCAGGGCCACCGCCACATTCACCTCACACTCCCGTGGCTTCAACACTCTCAGATGGAAATGCTACAAACCTGGGAGCAATGCTACTTAGAGAGGGGATGTCAGCACAACACTGAGAGCAACAGGCACTGCGTTCATGGTGTCAGAAAACAACCCCAGGTATTGACAAGCCAACCAGTCTCATCAATGATAAATACCCTGTAGAAGGATTTGGTGTTGACCTCTTGGGGTGAAGTATTTTGGGTCGGCTGTTTCGCTTTGGGTTTTTTTGTGTGTTTGGGGGTTTTGCTTGTTTATTGTTGGTTCGTTTTGTTTTGTCTTTCTACTGTTCTGTCTGTTCTTTCTACAAGAGGATTTGCGAGTGTTTTTTCTCAAGCTGTGGCTTCCGAATCAAGTGTTGAAAGACCATCAAAGCAGGGCAGCATATATCCCACTTGTGCTCTGGCCAAGAAGGCAGCTCCCCAGCCCGAGAGCTGGGCGGAGCAGGGACAGAACATTTCCCCTCTGCAAACCCTTCGCGGGGGGACGCTCCTCCTCCTCCAGGTAACTCACACGGCTAAACGCAGCTTCGACGCCCTGCGGGAAAAAAAGCCCGCGCCGCCGCCCCTGCTTTCGGAATGACTCTGCTGCAGAGCTGCGAGCCCCCGCTGCGGGCGGGAACCGCTGCTGGGTGCGGCGACACCTTCGCCGCCCCCCCCGGCCCCGCCAGAGCCGCGGGGCTCCCCAGAGGACGCGAGGGCAGAGGCCGAGGTGCCGGTGCCACCCGCCACGCACCCCCCGCCCGCGGGCCCCGGGGGCTGAGCCCGGCTCCCACCAGCGCCCGCCCACGGCACGCGCGGCAGAAGGGCGGGAGGGGGGAAGGAGGGAGGGAGGGAGGGAGGGAGGGAAGGGGCGGGAGGCGACAGAGGGAGGGCCACTGACCGTGTCCGGCGGAGCGGGCGGCTCCGGCTGCGTCTCCTTCGCCGCGGGGCCGGGCGGCGGCGGGAAGTTGGGGCTGAAAACCATCAGGTCGCTCTTGCCCGCGCCGTCCGCCACGCACAGGCTCCGGCTCTGCCGCTGCGAGTACGACCAGCTCCCCACTTCGCTGGCGCACACCAGCGTCGCCGGCCCGGGCCCCGCCAGCACGGCCGCCCGCGGCGCCCACCGCGACGCCCCGTACAGCACCACCGCCAGCAGGAACAGGCTCGACACCGCGCAGATGGCCACCACCAGCCACACGTTCGTCGCCGCCGCCGCCGCCGCCGCCGCGCCGCCCTCCGCGCCCGCCGCCGGCCGCAGCCCCGGCCCCGACGACCACGACGACCACGACGACGACGAGGAGCCCGCGGCCGCCAGCGCCGCCTCGGCGCCCTCCACCAGCGACACGCTCAGCGTGGCCGTGGCCGAGCGCGCCGGCTCGCCGTGGTCGCGCACCACGATCACCAGCCGCTGCCGCGGGCCGTCCGCCTCCTCCAGCGCCCGCGCCGTGCTCACCTCGCCGCTGTACAGCCCCACGCGGAACGGGCCCTTCCCCCGCGGCTCCCACAGCTCGTAGCGCAGCCACGCGTTGTAGCCCGAGTCCGCGTCCACCGCGCGGATCTTCGCCACCACCTGCCCCGCCGGCGCCCCCCACGCCGCCCACGCCCACAGCGCCTCCGAGCCCCCCGCGGCCCCGGCACCCGGCCCGCCGCCGGCGGGCGGCAGCAGCGCCGGCGCGTTGTCGTTCTCGTCCACCACGAAGAGCTGCACCGTGGCGTTGCCGCACAGCGGCGGCTCCCCCGCGTCCACCGCCCGCACCTCGAACTGCAGCACCTGCACCTCCTCGTAGTCCAAGGGCCGCAGCGCCCGCAGCCGCCCGCTCTCCGCCTCCACCGACACGTAGCTCGACGCCGCCCGCCCCCCGACGCCGCCCTCCGCCACCGAGTAGCTCACGCGCCCGTTGCCCGCCTCGTCCGGGTCCCGCGCCCACAGCCGCGCCAGCTCCGCGCCCGCCGCGTTGTTCTCCCGCGCCAGCACCGTGTACACGGCCTGCGCGAACGCCGGCGCGTTGTCGTTCACGTCCGACACCGGCACCCGCACCCCGCGGCTGGCGCGCAGCGGCGGCGCCCCGCCGTCCTCCGCCCGCACCTCCACCTCGTACTCCGACACCCGCTCCCGGTCCAGCGCCTCCCGCAGCACCAGCGAGTACGAGCCCGCGAACGTCGCCACCAGCCCGAACGGCGCCGCCGGCCACACCGCGCACCGCACCCGCCCGTTCGCCCCCGCGTCCCGGTCCGACACGCTCAGCAGTGCCACCACCGTCCCCACCGCCGCGTCCTCCGGCACCGGCACCGACAGCGACGTCACCCACACCTCCGGCGCGTTGTCGTTCACGTCCAGCACCTCCACCTCCACGCTGCAGTGGCCCGACAGCGGAGGGGAACCTTTGTCTCTCGCTTCGATTTGCAACTCGTGTAAACGCACCTCTTCAAAGTCTAAGTGACCCGTCAGTCTGATCTCACCCGTCTTAGGATCAATGCGGAATACATCTCTGTATTCGGCATTAACCGGACTTATGATACTGTAAGAAAAGTCCTGATTCAGACCCTCGTCTGGATCTGTGGCGTTCACCCGCGTCACCAGCGTCCCCCCCGCAGCGTTCTCCGGCAGCTGCACTTTATACACCGACTGGTTGAACTGGGGCGCGTTGTCGTTGGCGTCCAGCACCGAGATCACCAGCTCCATCGTGCCCGTCAGAGACGGCCGGCCCCCGTCACTCGCCGTCACCAGCAGCCGGTGCACGGGCTGCGTCTCGCGGTCCAGCCCTTTCGTCAGCACCAGGAATAAAGATTTTCTATTTTCATCAGGGGATTTAACATCGAGACTGAAGTGCTCGCTGGGGCTGAGGGTGTAGGAGAGCTGCGCGTTGGCCCCGATATCCGCATCCGACGCGCCCTCCAGCGGGAAGCGGGACCCCGGCAACACCGATTCCGCGATGCTGAGGTTCTTGCGGGCGGCGGGGAAGAGCGGCGCGTTGTCGTTGATGTCGGTGACCTCCAGCTCCACGTGGAAGACGCGCAGCGGCCGCTCCACCAGCACCTCCAGGCGCAGGGCGCACGGCGCGCTCTTCCCGCACAGCTCCTCCCGGTCCAGCCGCGAGCTCACCACCAGCGCCCCGCTCGCCCCGCTCACCTCCACGCTCGCCCGCCGGCCCTGCGCCACCAGCCGCAGCCGCCGCGCCTCCGGCTCGCCCGCCTCCAGGCCCAGGTCCTGCGCCAGCCGGCCCACCACCGTCCCGGCCTTGGCTTCCTCCGGCACCGAGTAGCGCACCTGCCCGCCGCCCAGCGCCCAGGCCGCCTGCAGCACCAGCACCCGCACCACGGGCCCCCAGCACCCGCCCATCGCCGCCGCCGCCCCCCGCCCGGGCCCCGCACGGCTCCCCGCCGCCGCCCGGACGCACCGGCTCGCCCGCCCGCCCCGCCCCGCCCCGCCCCGCGCCGCCCCGCGCCGCCCCCCCGCGCTCCCAGCCGGGCTCCCCGCCGCACCGGCCCGGAGCCGCCGTTGCTGAGCCTGCAGCGACACCGTGTGCTGCTCCGCCGCCCGCCGCGCTCCCCGCCATCGCCCGCGCCGCCGGCCCCGACCCGCTCCGCTCCTCTCCCGGCCCTGCCCACCGGCCTCCTCTCGCCGCCGCTTCGCCGAGCTCCTCGCTGCTGCCTTTGCGCTCGCACACCCGCCTCGCTCGCCGCCTTCCTCTGCCGCCTTCCAGATTGCCTCCGCCGGCTCCCTCTTGATTTCTATCGCTTCCCCTTTCCTTTCTCTTTCCTTCTTTCTCCTTTCCTCCGTCTATTTTCCTTCTTCTCTTTTCCTTTTTATCGTTTCTCTTTTCCTTTCTCTTTCTTCCTTCCCTTTTGCTTCTTCTCTTCTTCGTATCGTCTCTTTTCCTTTCTCTTACCTGCTTTCTCTTTTCCTCTTTCCTTCCTTTCCTCCGTCTATTTTCCTCCTCCTCTTTTCCTTTTTATCCTTTATCCTTTCCTTTCTCTTTCCTTCTTTCTCCTTTCTTCCTTTCTCCGTTCCTCCTTCTCTTTTCCTCCTTTCCTCCTTCTCTTTTCTTCTTTTCCACCTTTCCTCCTTCTCCTTTCCTCCTTCTTTTTATTCTCGTTTCTCCTTCCGTCCGTCGATTTCTTCTTTTCCGTCTTCTCTTTCTTCTCCATTTCGTTCTTGCCTTGCCGTGCCCTGCCCTAGTAGTTACACCACGTTCCCTTCTCTTTCCTATCTTCTTTCTTTCTTGTCCCTGCTGGCAGATCAACAGCCGCTCCCCGTGGCGACCACCAAAGTCGGAGCCATCAGCGCTAATTAGTGGCCAGCAACACCGGAGCGCGGGGCTCTCACCCCCGCGGAGGGACCCAGACCTGTTCAGCGCCGACAGGTAAGGGCGGGGCGTGCTGCTCATCTCCTTTACGGCGTTTTCCTTTCTTTCTTTCTCCCCGTCGTCATCTTCCTTCCTTTATCATGTTTTTGCTTCATTCTTTCCTTACACATTTATTTTTCTTTCACTCTTCCTCTCTTTCTTTCTTCCCTGCCTTCTTCCCTTTCTTCTCCCCTGCCTTTTTCTCTGACTTCCTTTTCTTCTTTCCTTTCTCACCCTCAACATATTTCTGTGCACAGTGAGAGCTCCAGTGCATGCTAGAAAACTCCTTCATCATTCTTTCCTTTCCCTCTCTTCTTTCTTTCTGTTGCTTGCTTTCTTCTTCTTCACCACTCTTTCTCTACATTCTTCCTTCCTTCTCCTCTTCCCACTCTTTCTTCTCATCTTCTCTTCCACGTACAGCCCCGTCCACCCAGAACCACACACCCTCCACGTCACTTCCCTCTTTGCCTCTGCTTTGTCCCCTTAACCAGCACCTTTTCTAGGTGAATACATCATGCCGGCCACAGAGCACAGACGTGCCCTTTGGCAACAGCTCTCATTCCTCTTACTATTGCTTTCCATTCCTCCACATGGGGAACAAACACCCCCTGAAACACAAGCCCCGGCTCCAGGTAGTTTGACATCTGGGCAAAGTGGCTCCAGTGAGTCCAACCAACCCAGGGGACTATTTAGTTCGGGGACTCAAATGCATCACTGCCCAGAAAGACCACGATCCAGGAAGGCTGAAAAAGCTCAATCGATGACAAGCATCATGAATGAAAGCATGATGCATGACAAGCTCTTGCTTCCCCTTCAGGCAGGCATGTTGCCACAGAACAACAGTGCAAGAACCTCCGTAGCCAGGGGCAAGAGTCCCCACAGAACACGCCTCACTCATATCACATGGTCCTCCCATCAAAAGCCACAAAGGTAAAACCATGCCATTTACACCGAGAAAATCTCCTCCATGCCCAACACATCTGCTCCAAGAAACACATCAGGGTCCCTCCTCCACCCCTGCTTGTCGCCCCTTGCTCACGCTCTGCCTGCAAAGGAATGAGAGCAGGCAGAGATGCTTTGACGGTCCAACCACAGAATCACAGAACAGCCCACGTTGGAAGGGACCCGTAAGGATCTTCGCGTCCAACTCCCAATCCAGCCAACACTCAGGCAACCCAACATGAAGAGATCATGACTAAACAGAAAGAAAAGTACATCTCTCTCGCAGACAACTCTTCCTTCGGCACCAGCGACTTACCTGCAGCATCACTGCTTGCCTCTCCAGAAAAGAAACATTTTCAGGGGAGGGGAACTGGTCTAAAGGGACATTTTCCCTTAACGTTATCAGAGACTTCTGAAGAAGATGGATAGGAAAAAATGACATGCAAGCTGCAAAAGCCTCGCAATCACAGCGCAGGGCATAGTGCTTCATTATTCACTTCTATCCCAGGGGAAGCAGCAGGGACACCTGCAAGCTAAGGACATTCTCTCCATGTCAACCTCAGCTCAGGAGACTCCCAAAGCCATCCCCCACACTGATGGCCAACGGCCTGAAACTCTGACACCCAACACCTGCCAAAATTCAGCGATCTGCATTTCATCCAAGTTACCGATGTGAGAGAAGGAAAAAAAAAAAAATATGCAGATGGAAGTTTTTGGCAAGAGGAGAGAAGAAAACAAAAGGGTCCTGTTCTGATGTATCAAAGCAAAAGGCTTGCCAAATTCTTGACTATGAAGAGCACTTGTTCAGCTGCCTAGCAAGACTGAGAGCAGAGAGGTAACCAAGGGGAGGTTCAGAGAAGGCTGGCCAAATTTGATTGACATTGGAAAAAGCTTCAGTTTAACAAACACCCTTCCCCATCCAAAGTAAGGGCTCCAAGCTGTGTAGGGCAGATGTCTTCTCGTCTGACAGGAGTAGTACGGAGAACACCAAGGTGCGGGGATTTGCAGTACTTCTGGAGGTCCTCAGAGGATCCCAGGCAAGCACCAACGGTGCAACGAGCATCTTCCCAAGGTTTTCTACTGGAATCCTCTATCCCAATCCATGGGAAATGGGATCTCCAGCTAAGCAGACATTCCCAATTCTTCCCCAATGACACAGTCCATGTTCTACACAGAATCTCCATTTCTTCGGGAAAGACTCTTCCCCACTAAGAGTCACCCTTCCCCAAACGGATGCCTCAAGCCCCACTCCGTGGCACTCAGGGGATCGCTGCCACAGTACCCACATGTGGTTCCACCATACCACCATGCCCCAGCAGTAACATCCACACTGAGCATGATGTGGGTTGTCACGCATCCTCAACTTCCCCCACCACTGGCACGAAGAACATATGGATGGATGGAAAGCCACACAGTGTCTGTGAGGCTCCTCCCATCTGCATAAACTACATCAAGAATACCTTGCACCTTTCCAGCAGTCTCAGATGCAAACACCACAGTGCTGCACGTTTCAGTTCTTAAGAATTCTGTCATTAGCCTGTGGTAGCTCTGATCCCCATACAAATTGATTTTATTCAAGAGAACCACAACAAATGCTGAAGTGCAAGTGCACTCACAGTGTCAGCTTGTACCACAGAAAACCAGAGCTCGGATGCTGTGAGGGATTTGGCATATACGTGCACATATGTGAGTTAAGCATGACAAGGAGACGCAGCGTCACTTCTGAGGCCGACTCTGCAAGTGCACAAGTAGGGGAAAGCAAGCACACACAGATTACACCCACCTCCTCATCCCATCCACTTACAAATCCTGCCTGAGGAGGAGCAAGGAACCCTCATGGCAATAGCAACAGATGTGGAAGCTTCCGTGGATGTCCACCACTACTCGAGCACAGCAGGCTGAAGCACGACCCTCCCACAACTCTCCTCTCAAAACCAGCGGGAAGCGCTTCATCAGACAATCCCTTTTCAGCAATCTCGGATGGAAACACCATGGGGCTCCATGCTAGAGTTCTTAAGGGCAAGTCTTCCTGACCAACCCAGTGACCTCCTGTGATATAGTGACTGCAGCAGTGGACAAGGGAAGAGCTATGTGTGTCGTCTAAGTGGACTTCTGTAAGGCCTTTGACATGGTCCCCCACAACATCCTTCTCTCTAAATTGGGGAGATACAGGTTTGATGGACAGACCGGTCGGTGGATGAGTAATTGCCTGGACGGTCACAGGCAGAGGGTAGCGGTCAACAATGTCTAGATGGAGACCAGTGACGAGTGGTATCTCTCAGGGCTCCGTACTGGGACCGGTACTGTTGAATATCTTCATCAGCAACACAGAGAGCGGGATCGAGCGTACCCTCAGCAAGTTGGCGGATGACACCAAGCTGAGTGGTGCCACTGACACGCCTGAGGGATGGGAAGCCATTCAGAGGGACCTGGACAAACTCGAAAATGGGCCCATGTGAAATTCACGAGGTGCCACAAGGGCAAGTTCAAGGTCCTGTAGCTGGGTCTGGGCAATCCCGAGTATCAATACAGGCTGGGGGATGAAGGGATTGAGAGCCGCCCTGCGGAGAAGGACTTGGGGGTACTGGTGGGTGAAAAAACAGACATGAGGCAGCAATGGGCGCTCGCAGCCCAGAAAGCCAACCGTCGCCTGGGCTGCAACAAAAGAAGCATGGCCAGCAGGTTGAGGCAGGGGATTCTGCCCCTCTGCTCCGCTCTGGTGAGACACCACCTGCAGTGCTGTGTCCACATCTGGGGCCCTCAGCACGGGAAAGACATCGACCTGTTGCAGTGGGTCCAGAGGAGGCCACAAAAACGATCAGAGGGGTAGAACATCTCTCCGATGAGGACAAGCTGGGAGAGTTGCAGTGTTTCAGCCTGGAGAAGAAAAGGCTTCATTTTGAAGGATCTATTGCTCTAAGCAAGGTGATTTAGATGGAGTTGTCCCTGCTCATTGCAGGGCAGCTGGAATAGATGATCTTTAAAGGTCCCTTCCAACCCAAACTCTTCTGTGATTCCCAGGACACCCGACACAGCCACTCCAAGGAAAACATTAGGGTCCTTTCTCTATCCATGCTTCCTGCCAACCGTTCTAGCTGTGCCTGGAAGCGACAGGAAAGGAATGAGAGCTGGCAGTGGTGCTTTGCTGCTCCAGTACAGTCCAAATCTGATCACTCCAACATAAAGTTACTGTGACTAAACAGCAACAAAAGTACATCGGTCTCTTCAGATATGAGCAACTTACCTATAGCATCACTGCTTGCTCTTTCAGGAAAGAAACAATTTCAGGACAGCAGAGTTGCTTCTAAGCAACTTTCTGGGAAGCCAGAAAGAAGAAAAAACACTCATGTCCTCCAAAAGCTTTGAAATTACTGTACATTATATCACGTTCTCTTACGCACCTCTGTCACAGGGGAAGCAGTTGGCACACCTGAGAGATGATGATATTCTCCAAATGTCACACTCAGCTTAATACAGTGGAAAAAATATATCCCCCACACTGATGCCCGACCCCCCAATCCCCTGCAACCTGAGAGCTGCCAAAATTCTGCCATCTGTATCTCATTCACTGTTACCAACAGATTGCCAATGGGAGAAAAGGAAACACAAAAGAGTGGGAGTTTTTGGTAAGAGGAGAGGAGAAAACCAAAGGATCCCATTCCACTGTACTGAAATGCCGGGTTTGCCAACATCTCAGATATGGAGAGCACTTCTTCCTCTCCCCAGCAGGAAAGAGAAGCAGAGAGATGACCACGGGTGAATTTGGAAAGGCTTCTGTTTGACCAACAACACTCCCGATCAAAACCAAGTGATTAAAGGCAAGTATGGCAGATGTCATCGCCTCTAGCAGGAATACCACAGAGACAGGGGTGCAAGAATACGCAGCAGAACTTCTGCAGGCCCCGAGAGGATCCCAAGCAAGTAGCACCGTGCGCAGGGACACTTCTCGAGGTTTCCTGCTGCCAACCTCTATTTTGTGCTGTGGGAAACGAGATCAGCTAAGCAACTGTTCTCCAGTTCTTCCCCAATGACACAGACCAGGTTCTACCCAGCATCTCCATTTCCCTCAGGCAACACTCTGCCTGGCTCAAGGTCACACTCCCTGTGATGCACGCCCAGGCCCTATTCACTGCAACTCCGAGCCATCATTGCCACAATACCCAGACATTGCTCCACCACAAGAACATGCCACAGCTCTAAAGCCCTCTCTGAGCATAACCCAGGCCTTTGCACACCCTCATTTCCTCTCACAATTGTCACAAAGTATATATGGAGTGCTGCAAAGCCTCTCTGTGACTCTTAGATTCTTCCCAGCTGCCTGGACGCATTGCACCTTTTCAGCAATTTCAAACAGAAATGGAGTTCTTAAAGATTCTCTGGTTAGAGCCATGACCGCTCTGACCTCAGTCCACACAGCTCTTATTCTTCAAGAAGACCACCCCGTTGAACGTTGAAGTGCAATTGCACTCAGAGTGTCAACTGCTTAGGAGAATTGTGCCATAGGGAACCAGAGCTGAGCTGATCAGGATGGTTTGGCGTGTCCACCCAGGCATCCGAATGAGTCTTGGGCGATAACAGAACACACCATCTCTACCAAGGCTGATTCTGCAAGTGCACACTGTGCAAAGTTGAATACGCACAGATTGCATCCCCTTGCTCCAGCGTCCTTACACATCCTGCCTGAGGAAGAGCAAGGAACCATCATGGCAACACCCACGGACGTAGAAGCTACTATGGATGCCCGCCACTACACAAGGACGGCAGGCTGAACCGCGACCCTCCCACAAGCCCTTTCTCAAAACAAGAGGGAAAAGGTCAATCAGAAAGTATTCCGCATGAGGGCCTGTCTCTGGTGGCAGATATTCATACAGCATTGGGGGCATTTCAATACCACACACGATCTCAACATCCACACGGCCTCCAGCTCCAGGCCCTTGGAGCCCGGGAAAGGATCCTGGCCACGAACACTCCGTGCCCATCCTGCCTCATGCTTTCCTCCAAGCATCCTGCATCCCCCACTCAGCGACATGCCTTCTCAAGACAAGCCGAACAAACCCTTTGCTGGTCTTGCAATATGTCCCATGGTCTTCCCAAGGATTTCCAGTTCCCGCAGACAAGTCTTCCCACCGATCAAGGTCACCCTTCGCATCAGGAGATGCCCAGGCCCTGCTCAGTGCCACCGCCACACTCCCCTCCGTAACATGCCACAGTTTCTTTTCCTCAAGCCTCAATCCCACTTTTCCTTTCTCTTCCCATCCATGAGAGCACCAGAAAAAACATACAGAGGTATCACATCCACGGTGTCCAGCAGGCTCCTGCTGCTGACCCTCATATCTGGCAATGCTTCAGCTATCGCAGCTGGAAACATGGCAGGCCTGGCAGCAATACTCTTTCTAAAGGCGATGTCGGGACAGCTCTAAATGGCAACGGCATTGATTTCACATTCTGACAGAAAAAACAACATGCTGATGAGCATGCTACCGTAATGGATGATACTGACTGTGGAGGAGAATTTGAATTGGATTTTGTGGGGGCTCAGCAGATCTTTGGGTTTGGGGTGTTTTTCTGTGTTTTGTTTTGCTTTGCTTTTTTCAGAAAAGAGTATTTCCAGGGCTTTTGAAACAATATGGCACATGATGGAAGTTTGAATGAACATTAAAACCAGCCAGCGTATTTCATGCTACTTCTCTCGCAAACAACACAAGTCCACAACGAGGGGGACACATGGAGCAGGAAAAGAAAAAGAAAACTCCCGTTTCAAACACACTCACCTTAGGTGAAACTCCTCTGCCTCAACAATTTACACTACTAAGTAGAGCAACAGGATAGTTTCAAAAAGAACAGAGGAAAAGTCCCTGTGGCTTCCCCTGCTTTCAGAATGACTCCGATGACCCAACTCAAATGGAGAAATGACACCACGGGGAGTGAAACCCCTCAACTCCCTGTTGCCACCTTCCATCCCGTCTCTTGCAGAGAACGAGGGGAGGGGTTTCGACAACGCTGACGCAAACACTGTCAGCAGTCAGCAGAGGCAATAAGGCAGTAAGTAGTGCCCGGGCGACTGTCACCACCCCAGCCTGAGCGTCTCGGGTCAATCAGACAGTATTCAGCAGTCTGCGTGTCACCCCTCCTAATCAACACGCCGCCCACGTCATTCAGGCACCACCACAAGGTTCTGTCTCTGGTCGAGGACCTTCGTTACCTCCAAAGACATTGTGGGCATTTCAATACCACGCGCTAGCTCGAGAGCCAGGAGGCCTCCAACGCCAGACCCTTGGAGCCTGGGAAAGAAAGGATCCTGGCCAGGAACGCTTTCTGTTCTTCCTGCCTCGAGCTTTCCTCCAGGCATCCTCCACTCCCCTCTCTGCGACTCGCCTTCTCAAGATAAGCACCTCATCTCCCTTTCCTGTGTTAAGACATAGCCGTGGTTTTCCAGTAATTCCCAATTCCCACAGACAAGTCTCCCCATCGTTCCAGGTCACCCTTCGCAGCAGGAAATGGCCAGGCCCCACTCAGGGCCACCGCCACATTCACCTCACGCTCTCCCGTGGATTCAACAGTCTCAGATGGAAATCCTACAAACCTGGGAGCAATGCTACTTAGAGAGGGGCTGTCAGCACAACGCTGAGAGCAACAGGCACTGCGTTCATGGTGTCAGAAAACAACCCCAGATATTGACAAGCCAACCAGTCTCATCAATGATAAATACCCTGTAGAAGGATTTGGTGTTGACCTCTTGGGGTGAAGTATTTTGGGTCGGCTGTTTCGCTTTGGGGTTTTTTGTGTGTTTGGGGGTTTTGCTTGTTTATTGTTGGTTCGTTTTGTTTTGTCTTTCTACTGTTCTGTCTGTTCTTTCTACAAGAGGATTTGCGAGTGTTTTTTCTCAAGCTGTGGCTTCCGAATCAAGTGTTGAAAGACCATCAAAGCAGGGCAGCATATATCCCACTTGTGCTCTGGCCAGGAAGGCAGCTCCCCAGCCCGAGAGCTGGGCGGAGCAGGGACAGAACATTTCCCCTCTGCAAACCCTTCGCGGGGGGACGCTCCTCCTCCTCCAGGTAACTCACACGGCTAAACGCAGCTTCGACGCCCTGCGGGAAAAAAAGCCCGCGCCGCCGCCCCTGCTTTCGGAATGACTCTGCTGCAGAGCTGCGAGCCCCCGCTGCGGGCGGGAACCGCTGCTGGGTGCGGCGACACCTTCGCCGCCCCCCCCGGCCCCGCCAGAGCCGCGGGGCTCCCCAGAGGACGCGAGGGCACAGGCCGAGGTGCCGGTGCCACCCGCCACGCACCCGCCACGCACCCCCCGCCCGCGGGCCCCGGGGGCTGAGCCCGGCTCCCACCAGCGCCCGCCCACGGCACGCGCGGCAGAAGGGCGGGAGGGGGGAAGGAGGGAGGGAGGGAAGGGGCGGGAGGCGACAGAGGGAGGGCCACTGACCGTGTCCGGCGGAGCGGGCGGCTCCGGCTGCGTCTCCTTCGCCGCGGGGCCGGGCGGCGGCGGGAAGTTGGGGCTGAAAACCATCAGGTCGCTCTTGCCCGCGCCGTCCGCCACGCACAGGCTCCGGCTCTGCCGCTGCGAGTACGACCAGCTCCCCACTTCGCTGGCGCACACCAGCGTCGCCGGCCCGGGCCCCGCCAGCACGGCCGCCCGCGGCGCCCACCGCGACGCCCCGTACAGCACCACCGCCAGCAGGAACAGGCTCGACACCGCGCAGATGGCCACCACCAGCCACACGTTCGTCGCCGCCGCCGCCGCGCCGCCCTCCGCGCCCGCCGCCGGCCGCAGCCCCGGCCCCGACGACCACGACGACCACGACGACGACGAGAAGCCCGCGGCCGCCAGCGCCGCCTCGGCGCCCTCCACCAGCGACACGCTCAGCGTGGCCGTGGCCGAGCGCGCCGGCTCGCCGTGGTCGCGCACCACGATCACCAGCCGCTGCCGCGGGCCGTCCGCCTCCTCCAGCGCCCGCGCCGTGCTCACCTCGCCGCTGTACAGCCCCACGCGGAACGGGCCCTTCCCCCGCGGCTCCCACAGCTCGTAGCGCAGCCACGCGTTGTAGCCCGAGTCCGCGTCCACCGCGCGGATCTTCGCCACCACCTGCCCCGCCGGCGCCCCCCACGCCGCCCACGCCCACAGCGCCTCCGAGCCCCCCGCGGCCCCGGCACCCGGCCCGCCGCCGGCGGGCGGCAGCAGCGCCGGCGCGTTGTCGTTCTCGTCCACCACGAAGAGCTGCACCGTGGCGTTGCCGCACAGCGGCGGCTCCCCCGCGTCCACCGCCCGCACCTCGAACTGCAGCACCTGCACCTCCTCGTAGTCCAAGGGCCGCAGCGCCCGCAGCCGCCCGCTCTCCGCCTCCACCGACACGTAGCTCGACGCCGCCCGCCCCCCGACGCCGCCCTCCGCCACCGAGTAGCTCACGCGCCCGTTGCCCGCCTCGTCCGGGTCCCGCGCCCACAGCCGCGCCAGCTCCGCGCCCGCCGCGTTGTTCTCCCGCGCCAGCACCGTGTACACGGCCTGCGCGAACGCCGGCGCGTTGTCGTTCACGTCCGACACCGGCACCCGCACCCCGCGGCTGGCGCGCAGCGGCGGCGCCCCGCCGTCCTCCGCCCGCACCTCCACCTCGTACTCCGACACCCGCTCCCGGTCCAGCGCCTCCCGCAGCACCAGCGAGTACGAGCCCGCGAACGTCGCCACCAGCCCGAACGGCGCCGCCGGCCACACCGCGCACCGCACCCGCCCGTTCGCCCCCGCGTCCCGGTCCGACACGCTCAGCAGCGCCACCACCGTCCCCACCGCCGCGTCCTCCGGCACCGGCACCGACAGCGACGTCACCCACACCTCCGGCGCGTTGTCGTTCACGTCCAGCACCTCCACCTCCACGCTGCAGTGGCCCGACAGCGGAGGGGAACCTTTGTCTCTCGCTTCGATTTCCAGGTCATACGACTGAATGTCCTCGAAATCCAGCTCAGAGGCAGTCCGGATTTCCCCGGATTTTCTGTCAATTATAAAAAGGTCCTGGACTTTGGCAGAAACCGTCTCGCCAAACGAATAATATAGCTCCCGGTTAATTCCCTCGTCTCGGTCTGTCGCTGTTACCTGGAAAACCACAGTTCCCGGGGAAGCGTTCTCCGGCAGCTGCACTTTATACACCGACTGGTTGAACTGGGGCGCGTTGTCGTTGGCGTCCAGCACCGAGATCACCAGCTCCATCGTGCCCGTCAGAGACGGCCGGCCCCCGTCACTCGCCGTCACCAGCAGCCGGTGCACGGGCTGCCTCTCGCGGTCCAGCGGTTTCTTTAACAGGAGGAACACGGAAATTTTTTTTTCGTCTTTAGACTTCACATCCAACTCGAAGTGCTCGCTGGGGCTGAGGGTGTAGGAGAGCTGCGCGTTGGCCCCGATATCCGCATCCGACGCGCCCTCCAGCGGGAAGCGGGACCCCGGCAACACCGATTCCGCGATGCTGAGGTTCTTGCGGGCGGCGGGGAAGAGCGGCGCGTTGTCGTTGATGTCGGTGACCTCCAGCTCCACGTGGAAGACGCGCAGCGGCCGCTCCACCAGCACCTCCAGGCGCAGGGCGCACGGCGCGCTCTTCCCGCACAGCTCCTCCCGGTCCAGCCGCGAGCTCACCACCAGCGCCCCGCTCGCCCCGCTCACCTCCACGCTCGCCCGCCGGCCCTGCGCCACCAGCCGCAGCCGCCGCGCCTCCGGCTCGCCCGCCTCCAGGCCCAGGTCCTGCGCCAGCCGGCCCACCACCGTCCCGGCCTTGGCTTCCTCCGGCACCGAGTAGCGCACCTGCCCGCCGCCCAGCGCCCAGGCCGCCTGCAGCACCAGCACCCGCACCACGGGCCCCCAGCACCCGCCCATCGCCGCCGCCGCCCCCCGCCCGGGCCCCGCACGGCTCCCCGCCGCCGCCCGGACGCACCGGCTCGCCCGCCCGCCCCGCCCCGCCCCGCCCCGCCCCGCGCCGCCCCCCCGCGCTCCCAGCCGGGCTCCCCGCCGCACCGGCCCGGAGCCGCCGTTGCTGAGCCTGCAGCGACACCGTGTGCTGCTCCGCCGCCCGCCGCGCTCCCCGCCATCGCCCGCGCCGCCGGCCCCGACCCGCTCCGCTCCTCTCCCGGCCCTGCCCACCGGCCTCCTCTCGCCGCCGCTTCGCCGAGCTCCTCGCTGCTGCCTTTGCGCTCGCACACCCGCCTCGCTCGCCGCCTTCCTCTGCCGCCTTCCAGATTGCCTCCGCCGGCTCCCTCTTGATTTCTATCGCTTCCCCTTTCCTTTCTCTTTCCTTCTTTCTCCTTTCCTCCGTCTATTTTCCTTCTTCTCTTTTCCTTTTTATCGTTTCTCTTTTCCTTTCTCTTTCTTTCTTTTCTTTTGCTTCGTCTCTTCTTCGTATCGTCTCTCTTTTCCTTTCTCTTACCTGCTTTCTCTTTTCCTCTTTCCTTCCTTTCCTCCGTCTATTTTCCTCCTCCTCTTTTCCTTTTTATCTTTTATCCTTTCCTTTCTCTTTCCTTCTTTCTCCTTTCCTCCTTCTCTTTTCCTCCTTTCCTCCTTCTCTTTTCTTCTTTTCCTCCTTTCCTCCTTCTCCTTTCCTCCTTCTTTTTATTCTCGTTTCTCCTTCCGTCCGTCGATTTCTTCTTTTCCGTCTTCTCTTTCTTCTCCATTTCGTTCTTGCCTTGCCGTGCCCTGCCCTAGTAGTTACACCACGTTCCCTTCTCTTTCCATTCTTCTTTCTTGTCCTTGCTGGCAGATCAACAGCCGCCCCCCGCGGCGACCACCAAAGTCGGAGCCATCAGCGCTAATTAGTGGCCAGCAACACCGGAGCGCGGGGCTCTCACCCCCGCGGAGGGACCCAGACCTGTTCAGCGCTGACAGGTAAGGGCGGGGCGTGCTACTCATCTGCTTTACGGCATTTTCCTTTCTTTCCTTCTCCCCGTCGTCATCTTCATTCCTTTATCATGTTTTTGCTTCATTCTTTCCTTACACATTTATTTTTCTTCCACTCTTCCTCTCTTTCTTTCTTCCATTTCTTCTCCCCTGCCTTCTTCTCTGCCTTCCTTTTCTTCCTTCCTTTCTCACCCTCAACATATTTCTGTGCACAGTGAGAGCTCCAGTGCATGCTAGAAAACTCCTTCATCATTCTTTCCTTTCCCTCTCTTCTTTCTTTCTGTTGCTTGCTTTCTTCTTCTTCACCACTCTTTCTCTACATTCTTCCTTCCTTCTCCTCTTCCCACTCTTTCTTCTCATCTTCTCTTCCACGTACAGCCCCGTCCACCCAGAACCACACACCCTCCACGTCACTTCCGTCTTTGCCTCTGCTTTGTCCCCTTAACCAGCACCTTTTCTAGGTGAATACATCATGCTGGCCACAGAGCACAGACGTGCCCTTTGGCAACAGCTCTCATTCCTCTTACTATTGCTTTCCATTCCTCCACATGGGGAACAACCACCCCCTGAAACACAAGCCCAGGCTCCAGGTACTTTGACATCTGGGCAAAGTGGCTCCAATGAGTCCAACCAACCCAGGGGACTATTTAGTTCGGGGACTCAAATGCATCACTGCCCAGCAAGACCACGATCCAGGAAGGCTGAAAAAGCTCAATCCATAACAAGCATCATGAATGAAAGCATGATGCATGACAAGCCCTCGCTTCCCCTTCAGGCAGGCATGTTGCCACAGAAAAACAGTGCAAGAACCTCCGTAGCCAGGGGCAACAGTCCCCACAGAACACGCCTCACTCATATATCATGGTCCTCCCATCAAAAGCCACAAAGGTAAACCCATGCCATTTACACCGGGAACATCTCCTCCATGCCCAACACATCTGCTCCAAGAAACACATCAGGGCCCCTCCTCCACCCCTGCTTGTCGCCCCTTGCTCACGCTCTGCCTGCAAGCAGCAAGAAAGGAATGAGAGCAGGCAGAGGTGCTTTGACAGTCCAACCACAGAATCACAGAACAGCCCACGTTGGAAGGGACCCATAAGGATCTTCGCGTCCAACTCCCAATCCAGCCAACACTCAGGCAACCCAACATGAAGAGATCATGACTAAACAGAAACAAACGAACATCTCTCTCGCAGACTCCTCTTCCTTCGGCACCAGCGACTTACCTGCAGCATCACTGCTTGCCTCTCCAGAAAAGAAACATTTTCAGGGGAGGGGAACTGGTCTAAAGGGACATTTTCCCTTAACGTTATCAGAGACTTCTGAAGAAGATGGATAGGAAAAAATTACATGCAAGCTGCAAAAGCCTCGCAATCACAGCGCAGGGCATAGTGCTTCATTATTCACTTCTATCCCAGGGGAAGCAGCAGGGACACCTGCAAGCTAAGGACATTCTCTCCATGTCAACCTCAGCTCAGGAGACTCCCAAAGCCATCCCCCACACTGATGGCCAACGGCCTGAAACTCTGACACACAACACCTGCCAAAATTCAGCGATCTGCATTTCATCCAAGTTACCGATGTGAGAGAAGGAAAAAAAAAAAAAAACGCAGATGGAAGTTTTTGGCAAGAGGAGAGAAGAAAACAAAAGGGTCCTGTTCTGATGTATCAAAGCAAAAGGCTTGCAAATTCTTGACTATGAAGAGCACTTGTTCAGCTGACTAGCAAGACTGAGAGCAGAGAGGTAACCAAGGGGAGGTTCAGAGAAGGCTGGCCAAATTTGATTGACATTGGAAAAAGCTTCAGTTTAACAAACACCCTTCCCCATCCAAAGTAAGGGCTCCAAGCTGTGTAGGGCAGATGTCTTCTCATCTGACAGGAGTAGTACGGAGAACACCAAGGTGCTGGGATTTGCAGTACTTCTGGAGGATCCCAGGCAAGCACCAACTGTGTAACGGGCATCTTCCCAAGGTTTTCTACTGGAATCCTCTATCCCAATCCATGGGAAATGGGATCTCCAGCTAAGCAGACATTCCCCAGTTCTTCCCCAATGACACAGTCCATGTTCTACACAGAATCTCCATTTCTTCAGGAAAGACTCTTCCCCACTAAGAGTCACCCTTCCCCAAACGGATGCCCCAAGCCCCACTCCGTGGCACTCAGGGGATCGCTGCCACAGTACCCACATGTGGTTCCACCATACCACCATGCCCCAGCAGTAACGTCCACACTGAGCATGATGTGGGTTGTCACGCATCCTCAACTTCCCCCACCACTGGCACGAAGAACATATGGATAGATGGAAAGCCACACAGTGTCTGTGAGGCTCCTCCCATCTGCATAAACTACATCAAGAATACCTTGCACCTTTCCAGCAGTCTCAGATGCAAACACCACAGTGCTGCACGTTTCAGTTCTTAAGAATTCTGTCATTAGCCTGTGGTAGCTCTGATCCCCATACAAATTGATTTTATTCAAGAGAACCACAACAAATGCTGAAGTGCAAGTGCACTCACAGTGTCAGCTTGTACCACAGAAAACCAGAGCTCGGATGCTGTGAGGGATTTGGCATATACGTGCACATATGTGAGTTAAGCATGACAAGGAGACGCAGCGTCACTTCTGAGGCCGACTCTGCAAGTGCACAAGTAGGGGAAAGCAAGCACACACAGATTACACCCACCTCCTCATCCCATCCACTTACAAATCCTGCCTGAGGAGGAGCAAGGAACCCTCATGGCAATAGCAACAGATGTGGAAGCTTCCGTGGATGTCCACCACTACTCGAGCACAGCAGGCTGAAGCACGACCCTCCCACAACTCTCCTCTCAAAACCAGCGGGAAGCGCTTCATCAGACAATCCCTTTTCAGCAATCTCGGATGGAAACACCATGGGGCTCCATGCTAGAGTTCTTAAGGGCAAGTCTTCCTGACCAACCCAGTGACCTCCTGTGATATAGTGACTGCAGCAGTGGACAAGGGAAGAGCTATGTGTGTCGTCTACGTGGACTTCTGTAAGGCCTTTGACATGGTCCCCCACAACATCCTTCTCTCTAAATTGGGGAGATACAGGTTTGATGGACAGACCGGTCGGTGGATGAGTAATTGCCTGGACGGTCACAGGCAGAGGGTAGCGGTCAACAATGTCTAGATGGAGACCAGTGACGAGTGGTATCTCTCAGGGCTCCGTACTGGGACCGGTACTGTTGAATATCTTCATCAGCAACACAGAGAGCGGGATCGAGCGTACCCTCAGCAAGTTGGCGGATGACACCAAGCTGAGGGGTGCCACTGACACGCCTGAGGGATGGGAAGCCATTCAGAGGGACCTGGACAAACTCGAAAATGGGCCCATGTGAAATTCACGAGGTGCCACAAGGGCAAGTTCAAGGTCCTGTAGCTGGGTCTGGGCAATCCCGAGTATCAATACAGGCTGGGGGATGAAGGGATTGAGAGCCGCCCTGCGGAGAAGGACTTGGGGGTACTGGTGGGTGAAAAAACAGACATGAGGCAGCAATGGGCGCTCGCAGCCCAGAAAGCCAACCGTCGCCTGGGCTGCAACAAAAGAAGCATGGCCAGCAGGTTGAGGCAGGGGATTCTGCCCCTCTGCTCCGCTCTGGTGAGACACCACCTGCAGTGCTGTGTCCACATCTGGGGCCCTCAGCACGGGAAAGACATCGACCTGTTGGAGTGGGTCCAGAGGAGGCCACAAAAACGATCAGAGGGGTAGAACATCTCTCCGATGAGGACAAGCTGGGAGAGTTGCAGTGTTTCAGCCTGGAGAAGAAAAGGCTTCATTTTGAAGGATCTATTGCTCTAAGCAAGGTGATTTAGATGGAGTTGTCCCTGCTCATTGCAGGGCAGCTGGAATAGATGATCTTTAAAGGTCCCTTCCAACCCAAACTCTTCTGTGATTCCCAGGACACCCGACACAGCCACTCCAAGGAAAACATTAGGGTCCTTTCTCTATCCATGCTTCCTGCCAACCGTTCTAGCTGTGCCTGGAAGCGACAGGAAAGGAATGAGAGCTGGCAGTGGTGCTTTGCTGCTCCAGTACAGTCCAAATCTGATCACTCCAACATAAAGTTACTGTGACTAAACAGCAACAAAAGTACATCGGTCTCTTCAGATATGAGCAACTTACCTATAGCATCACTGCTTGCTCTTTCAGGAAAGAAACAATTTCAGGACAGCAGAGTTGCTTCTAAGCAACTTTCTGGGAAGCCAGAAAGAAGAAAAAACACTCATGTCCTCCAAAAGCTTTGAAATTACTGTACATTATATCACGTTCTCTTACGCACCTCTGTCACAGGGGAAGCAGTTGGCACACCTGAGAGCTGATGATATTCTCCAAATGTCACACTCAGCTTAATACAGTGGAAAAAATATATCCCCCACACTGATGCCCGACCCCCCAGTCCCCTGCAACCTGAGAGCTGCCAAAATTCTGCCATCTGTATCTCATTCACTGTTACCAACAGATTGCCAATGGGAGAAAAGGAAACACAAAAGAGTGGGAGTTTTTGGTAAGAGGAGAGGAGAAAACCAAAGGATCCCATTCCACTGTACTGAAATGCCGGGTTTGCCAACATCTCAGATATGGAGAGCACTTCTTCCTCTCCCCAGCAGGAAAGAGAAGCAGAGAGATGACCACGGGTGAATTTGGAAAGGCTTCTGTTTGACCAACAACACTCCCGATCAAAACCAAGTGATTAAAGCAAGTATGGCAGACGTCATCACCTCTAGCAGGAATACCACAGAGACAGGGGTGCAAGAATACGCAGCAGAACTTCTGCAGGCCCCGAGAGGATCCCAAGCAAGTAGCACCGTGCGCAGGGACACTTCTCGAGGTTTCCTGCTGCCAACCTCTATTTTGTGCTGTGGGAAACGAGATCAGCTAAGCAACTGTTCTCCAGTTCTTCCCCAATGACACAGACCAGGTTCTACCCAGCATCTCCATTTCCCTCAGGCAACACTCTGCCTGGCTCAAGGTCACACTCCCTGTGATGCACGCCCAGGCCCTATTCACTGCAACTCCGAGCCATCATTGCCACAATACCCAGACATTGCTCCACCACAAGAACATGCCACAGCTCTAAAGCCCTCTCTGAGCATAACCCAGGCCTTTGCACACCCTCATTTCCTCTCACAATTGTCACAAAGTATATATGGAGTGCTGCAAAGCCTCTCTGTGACTCTTAGATTCTTCCCAGCTGCCTGGACGCATTGCACCTTTTCAGCAATTTCAAACAGAAATGGAGTTCTTAAAGATTCTCTGGTTAGAGCCATGACCGCTCTGACCTCAGTCCACACAGCTCTTATTCTTCAAGAAGACCACCCCGTTGAACGTTGAAGTGCAATTGCACTCAGAGTGTCAACTGCTTAGGAGAATTGTGCCATAGGGAACCAGAGCTGAGCTGATCAGGATGGTTTGGCGTGTCCACCCAGGCATCCGAATGAGTCTTGGGCGATAACAGGACACACCATCTCTACCAAGGCTGATTCTGCAAGTGCACACTGTGCAAAGTTGAATACGCACAGATTGCATCCCCTTGCTCCAGCGTCCTTACACATCCTGCCTGAGGAAGAGCAAGGAACCATCATGGCAACACCCACGGACGTAGAAGCTACTATGGATGCCCGCCACTACACAAGGACGGCAGGCTGAACCGCGACCCTCCCACAAGCCCTTTCTCAAAACAAGAGGGAAAAGGTCAATCAGAAAGTATTCCGCATGAGGGCCTGTCTCTGGTGGCAGATATTCATACAGCATTGGGGGCATTTCAATACCACACACGATCTCAACATCCACACGGCCTCCAGCTCCAGGCCCTTGGAGCCCGGGAAAGGATCCTGGCCACGAACACTCCGTGCCCATCCTGCCTCATGCTTTCCTCCAAGCATCCTGCATCCCCCACTCAGCGACGTGCCTTCTCAAGACAAGCCGAACAAACCCTTTGCTGGTCTTGCAATATGTCCCATGGTCTTCCCAAGGATTTCCAGTTCCCGCAGACAAGTCTTCCCACCGATCAAGGTCACCCTTTGCATCAGGAGATGCCCAGGCCCTGCTCAGTGCCACCGCCACACTCCCCTCCGTAACATGCCACAGTTTCTTTTCCTCAAGCCTCAATCCCACTTTTCCTTTCTCTTCCCATCCATGAGAGCACCAGAAAAAACATACAGAGGTATCACATCCACGGTGTCCAGCAGGCTCCTGCTGCTGACCCATCATATCTGGCAATGCTTCAGCTATCGCAGCTGGAAACATGGCAGGCCTGGCAGCAATACTCTTTCTAAAGGCGATGTCGGGACAGCTCTAAATGGCAACGGCATTGATTTCACATTCTGACAGAAAAAACAACATGCTGATGAGCATGCTACCATAATGGATGATACTGACTGTGGAGGAGAATTTGAATTGGATTTTGTGAGGGCTCAGCAGATCTTTGGGTTTGGGGTGTTTTTCTGTGTTTTGTTTTGCTTTGCTTTTTTCAGAAAAGAGTATTTCCAGGGCTTTTGAAACAATATGCCACATGATGGAAGTTTGAATGAACATTAAAACCAGCCAGCGTATTTCATGCTACTTCTCTCGCAAACAACACAAGTCCACAACCAGGGGGAGAGATGGAGCAGGAAAAGAAAAAGAAAACTCCCGTTTCAAACACACTCACCTTAGGTGAAACTCCTCTGCCTCAACAATTTACACTACTAAGTAGAGCAACAGGATAGTTTCAAAAAGAACAGAGGAAAAGTCCGTGTGGCTTCCCCTGCTTTCAGAATGACTCCGATGACCCAACTCAAATGGAGAAATGACACCACGGGGAGTGAAAACCCTCAACTCCCTGTTGCCACCTTCCATCCCGTCTCTTGCAGAGAACGAGGGGAGGGGTTTCGACAACGCTGATGCAAACATTGTCAGCAGTCAGCAGAGGCAATAAGGCAGTAAGTAGTGCCCGGGCGACTGTCACCACCCCAGCCTGAGCGTCTCGGGTCAATCAGACAGTATTCAGCAGTCTGCGTGTCACCCCTCCTAATCAACACGCCGCCCATGTCATTCAGGCACCACCACAAGGTTCTGTCTCTGGTCGAGGACCTTCGTTACCTCCAAAGACATTGTGGGCATTTCAATACCACGCGCTAGCTCGAGAGCCAGGAGGCCTCCAACGCCAGACCCTTGGAGCCTGGGAAAGAAAGGATCCTGGCCAGGAACGCTTTCTGTTCTTCCTGCCTCGAGCTTTCCTCCAGGCATCCTCCACTCCCCTCTCTGCGACTCGCCTTCTCAAGATAAACACCTCATCTCCCTTTCCTGTGTTAAGACATAGCCATGGTTTTCCAGTAATTCCCAATTCCCACAGACAAGTCTTCCCACCGTTCCAGGTCACCCTTCGCAGCAGGAAATGGCCAGGCCCCACTCAGGGCCACCGCCACATTCACCTCACACTCTCCCGTGGCTTCAACAGTCTCAGATGGAAATGCTACAAACCTGGGAGCAATGCTACTTAGAGAGGGGATGTCAGCACAACGCTGAGAGCAACAGGCACTGCGTTCATGGTGTCAGAAAACAACCCCAGATATTGACAAGCCAACCAGTCTCATCAATGATAAATACCCTGTAGAAGGATTTGGTGTTGACCTCTTGGGGTGAAGTATTTTGGGTCGGCTGTTTCGCTTTGGGGTTTTTTGTGTGTTTGGGGGTTTTGCTTGTTTATTGTTGGTTCGTTTTGTTTTGTCTTTCTACTGTTCTGTCTGTTCTTTCTACAAGAGGATTTGCGAGTGTTTTTTCTCAAGCTGTGGCTTCCGAATCAAGTGTTGAAAGACCATCAAAGCAGGGCAGCATATATCCCACTTGTGCTCTGGCCAGGAAGGCAGCTCCCCAGCCCGAGAGCTGGGCGGAGCAGGGACAGAACATTTCCCCTCTCCAGACCCTTCGCGGGGGGACGCTCCTCCTCCTCCAGGTAACTCACACGGCTAAACGCAGCTTCGACGCCCTGCGGGAAAAAAAGCCCGCGCCGCCGCCCCTGCTTTCGGAATGACTCTGCTGCAGAGCTGCGAGCCCCCGCTGCGGGCGGGAACCGCTGCTGGGTGCGGCGACACCTTCGCCGCCCCCCCCGGCCCCGCCAGAGCCGCGGGGCTCCCCAGAGGACGCGAGGGCAGAGGCCGAGGTGCCGGTGCCACCCGCCACGCACCCGCCACGCACCCCCCGCCCGCGGGCCCCGGGGGCTGAGCCCGGCTCCCACCAGCGCCCGCCCACGGCACGCGCGGCAGAAGGGCGGGAGGGGGGAAGGAGGGAGGGAGGGAAGGGGCGGGAGGCGACAGAGGGAGGGCCACTGACCGTGTCCGGCGGAGCGGGCGGCTCCGGCTGCGTCTCCTTCGCCGCGGGGCCGGGCGGCGGCGGGAAGTTGGGGCTGAAAACCATCAGGTCGCTCTTGCCCGCGCCGTCCGCCACGCACAGGCTCCGGCTCTGCCGCTGCGAGTACGACCAGCTCCCCACTTCGCTGGCGCACACCAGCGTCGCCGGCCCGGGCCCCGCCAGCACGGCCGCCCGCGGCGCCCACCGCGACGCCCCGTACAGCACCACCGCCAGCAGGAACAGGCTCGACACCGCGCAGATGGCCACCACCAGCCACACGTTCGTCGCCGCCGCCGCCGCCGCCGCGCCGCCCTCCGCGCCCGCCGCCGGCCGCAGCCCCGGCCCCGACGACCACGACGACCACGACGACGACGAGGAGCCCGCGGCCGCCAGCGCCGCCTCGGCGCCCTCCACCAGCGACACGCTCAGCGTGGCCGTGGCCGAGCGCGCCGGCTCGCCGTGGTCGCGCACCACGATCACCAGCCGCTGCCGCGGGCCGTCCGCCTCCTCCAGCGCCCGCGCCGTGCTCACCTCGCCGCTGTACAGCCCCACGCGGAACGGGCCCTTCCCCCGCGGCTCCCACAGCTCGTAGCGCAGCCACGCGTTGTAGCCCGAGTCCGCGTCCACCGCGCGGATCTTCGCCACCACCTGCCCCGCCGGCGCCCCCCACGCCGCCCACGCCCACAGCGCCTCCGAGCCCCCCGCGGCCCCGGCACCCGGCCCGCCGCCGGCGGGCGGCAGCAGCGCCGGCGCGTTGTCGTTCTCGTCCACCACGAAGAGCTGCACCGTGGCGTTGCCGCACAGCGGCGGCTCCCCCGCGTCCACCGCCCGCACCTCGAACTGCAGCACCTGCACCTCCTCGTAGTCCAAGGGCCGCAGCGCCCGCAGCCGCCCGCTCTCCGCCTCCACCGACACGTAGCTCGACGCCGCCCGCCCCCCGACGCCGCCCTCCGCCACCGAGTAGCTCACGCGCCCGTTGCCCGCCTCGTCCGGGTCCCGCGCCCACAGCCGCGCCAGCTCCGCGCCCGCCGCGTTGTTCTCCCGCGCCAGCACCGTGTACACGGCCTGCGCGAACGCCGGCGCGTTGTCGTTCACGTCCGACACCGGCACCCGCACCCCGCGGCTGGCGCGCAGCGGCGGCGCCCCGCCGTCCTCCGCCCGCACCTCCACCTCGTACTCCGACACCCGCTCCCGGTCCAGCGCCTCCCGCAGCACCAGCGAGTACGAGCCCGCGAACGTCGCCACCAGCCCGAACGGCGCCGCCGGCCACACCGCGCACCGCACCCGCCCGTTCGCCCCCGCGTCCCGGTCCGACACGCTCAGCAGCGCCACCACCGTCCCCACCGCCGCGTCCTCCGGCACCGGCACCGACAGCGACGTCACCCACACCTCCGGCGCGTTGTCGTTCACGTCCAGCACCTCCACCACCACCTTGCAGTGGCCTGACAGCGGGGGCGTCCCCTTGTCTTCTGCTTCGATTTGTATCTCGTATGAACGGCAATCTTCAAAGTCCAGGGCGCCCGTGAGACGGATCTCTCCCGTCTTCGGGTTTAAAGTGAAAAGGTTTAATCCTTTTACAGGAAAAACATCCCTCGCAGTGAACGTCACTTCGCCATTGCTTCCGATGTCTGGATCTGTGGCGTTCACCCGCGTCACCAGCGTCCCCTCCGCAGCGTTCTCCGGCAGCTGCACTTTATACACCGACTGGTTGAACTGGGGCGCGTTGTCGTTGGCGTCCAGCACCGAGATCACCAGCTCCATCGTGCCCGTCAGAGACGGCCGGCCCCCGTCACTCGCCGTCACCAGCAGCCGGTGCACGGGCAGCGTCTCGCGGTCGAGGGATTTCCTGAGCACCAGAAACAGGGATTCTCGGTATTCCTCACTCCGCTGTAAATCCAGACCGAAGTGCTCGCTGGGGCTGAGGGTGTAGGAGAGCTGCGCGTTGGCCCCGATATCCGCATCCGACGCGCCCTCCAGCGGGAAGCGGGACCCCGGCAACACCGATTCCGCGATGCTGAGGTTCTTGCGGGCGGCGGGGAAGAGCGGCGCGTTGTCGTTGATGTCGGTGACCTCCAGCTCCACGTGGAAGACGCGCAGCGGCCGCTCCACCAGCACCTCCAGGCGCAGGGCGCACGGCGCGCTCTTCCCGCACAGCTCCTCCCGGTCCAGCCGCGAGCTCACCACCAGCGCCCCGCTCGCCCCGCTCACCTCCACGCTCGCCCGCCGGCCCTGCGCCACCAGCCGCAGCCGCCGCGCCTCCGGCTCGCCCGCCTCCAGGCCCAGGTCCTGCGCCAGCCGGCCCACCACCGTCCCGGCCTTGGCTTCCTCCGGCACCGAGTAGCGCACCTGCCCGCCGCCCAGCGCCCAGGCCGCCTGCAGCACCAGCACCCGCACCACGGGCCCCCAGCACTGCCGTGTCGGTCCAGAAATGCCCATCGCGGTCAGCAATTCTTTTTTCTTCACGCCGTTTCGTTACGGATCTTTGTATCTAGTCGGTTTTTGCTGTGCACTCTACAGAAATCCTCTGTCAGGCGCTGCACATCCTCTTCTCCTCTTCTTTTTCTCATCTCCGTTTTTTTTTTTTTTTTTTTTTTTTATCCGCACCGGAAGGTATTTCCCCGCCCTTCCCCCGGTTTTATCATACGTTTATTAGGTTAGAGCGGCATCATGTGGCACTCTGCACAAATTGCCTCTGTTGGTATCGACTTGGTTTGCTTCATCTGTATCATTTTCCATTCTTGCACTTCAATTCTTTCTTCTTATTTGTTGCCGAATATTTATGCCCAACATTCTCATTGTATTGGTTTCGGAGAAGTTCATATGAGTCTCCCCATCTTCTTTGTAGAGCACTCTTCGGCCAGTTTGTCTGAAACAAGGTGCTTTTTGCTAACTGCAGCTCATTTTGACGCCTGAATTTTGTTCATCTGTTAAAACAGACGGGAAAATCCCACCAAACTTTTAATTCTTCCCAGAGACATTTTCTCTTCTTTGGGTCTGGTCTTTCCTGTCACCTCTATTCATCTTGATCTGTAGCCTGTCATTAGTTGAAGTGGCTGAAAAACTAATCTTTCACACTTGTCTTCCCAAATAAATTGTTTTTCCATAAATTATTTTCAATTAATGGGACAGGTCCCAAGATGACCCTGATTGGGGCTCCTCTATTAGAAACTCTCAGTTTCGTTGAAGTGTTTCTGAAAACATGCATGTTCCACATGCAGTTCTATATGTTTCTTGCAACAAAATATATCTAGAGTGTTTCGTAATGAAGGCACAGGGGTGAGGGTGGTCACAGGTCGGTGCTTGTGAGCAAGTCTTGTATGGATTGAGGGTAGAAGGAAAGGGAAAACCAGGAAAGATCCCTTTCTCATGGTCTCTGTGTTCCCCCCCCAGCATCCCTCTGAGCAAACAGGGGGGGTCAAACTGTTCAGCGGTAACTGTTTCACAGTAGATACTCCCTGTTACCCATCAGCTCTGCTGACAGCACAAGTGACCGCTGAATGGAAAAGGGATGCAGCAGGAGAGCAGACTGAGAAACACAGGTTACTCCACATTTCCCTCTACTCAGAGCCAAGGGGGACACGGGAGGGCAGAGCTGAGAGGGGATGCGGTCGACTTGGGAGGAAGCAGAAGAGAGCCGCGTCAGGGGGGAGATCCTTCTTTCAAAAGAGACAAGGCTGAGTTTTTCTGCTATCTGTGCTCTCCATTCGAGCCCCGCTTCTACCGGAGGCTCATCTGTGTCTCAAGATACTGAAACAAACGTTACAGTCCTCTGCTCCCCGGCTCCAGAAAAGCCGGGTGCTCGGCTCTGGGTGGGTTTTCGACCACCATTTGAAGCCTTAGGGCAAAATCTGACGCCTGCCCACACAGCTTTGGCCCATCCCCGTTTGCATTGACCGTTACCTTCCCCCAGGCACACCGGCCCCGCAGCCGCTGCACTAAGGATGAGAGCAGCTTCTGCCGTTAGCTCTGCAGCTCACGTACACAGATCACAGTTCAAAAGATTATTGAACACAATTGTGCCTACTGACCTTTTTGTATTCCTGCCCGACTGATCTCCACAACTCCACCAATTTATATGGAAATCTGCCACTGAAGGTAGTCAAGCTTTCCATGGACAGCAATGATGTCTTGATTCCAGATCTGTCCCTAATGCTATTTTTGAATAGCCTATGGCATCAGAACGCAAAAGACGAACTTTTATTCCTACTGCATCTTCGTAACTTCATTTCCTTATCCCAACCAGTGACAGGGTTTTCTCCCCAGGGAAGGCATTCAGAAAGAGCACGTTTCATATCCCAAATTCTTGTGGAAGTTCAGCTTTTAAAGAGTGATCTTTCCCTCCAGCACTGCTCTCAAGCAGAGCAGCCCACAGGAAATGGCAAAAGGGACCTCTGGCAGATGCTGCTGCTGCTAGGGACTCGGATTTATTAAGCCCATTAACACATCCCTATTGCATTCATCGTCCCACAGAGGTTTCATAATTCTCTCCCATTGTGTAGGTTCTACACATGAATTTTCTGCAGTCTCCCGCTGTCATTACTATAGATCACAGATAAACAGACAGAGATAAATCTCTCCTATCAAGCAGAACAGCACTTGTTAACTTTTTCCAGGTGCAGGCGACGAAACTGATCTTTTTGATGGCAGAAGACTGACGACTAAGATTCTACAAGGCACAATTTTTGCAAAGGTGATCTGGAAACACGTTCCCGACCTCTGAATCTCCTGGAGTTTTCTGGCAGTTTGTTTTAATTCGTGTAGCAAAAGGAAATGAAGGTTTGGATAGAGATCATTGTCTTGACATGGATAGGAAGAGATGCTGGGGCAGATCTTCTATCAGCAAATTCATCATGCTTGGTCCATGTGAGTCCAGGATGAGAGGTGTTTAAGAAAGCTTTGATTTTGTTTTCTCTATATACCCACCTTTTAAGTTAATGCACTTACCTGGAATAAGTAGATCCTCTCTGGAGGAATATTTCATGCCTTATTTATAGGGATGAAAATGCAGTTTCTATGTCAGCAAAAGCAGCACCATTTTATTTTCAGGTATCTTAGAGCTGTGCTAGGGTCTAAGTTAAACGTAGTAGGATGTTTTAAATCAGTAAAACAGCTGTTAATGAGATGATAAGCACTGACGTCAAGGATAGAGGACATGGTCTTCTTTTTCCTGTGGTCTGAATGCTTGTCTGCATTGTTTCTATATCTACCAAGCAGCAGCTTAAATTGTCCCACAATGCCAGAGATCTGAGCTTAGCTAGGTTAAAAGTGCTTCTATACACAAAGAAACAGTTAAAGAGTCCAGGATAACCTCTGCGTTGGAAGAGTTGTTTCTTGCTTATTCAAATCCAGTCCACGTGAGATTCTCACATTCTGATGAAATCCAGCTACTACCTGAGTAGCAGTAAGGTAGTGGATGGCATTGGCAAATCCTTAAGCATTGTAGCATTGCACTACTACCACAGATGTCCAATGAAGTTTCCTTTTATACCACCTGCATCTATAATGAGAAGCCACAGAGGTCATAAGAAAAAGCTGAGATGATCTGGCAAAAATCACCTGAATTAGTGGAAGGATTAGTTTAGCTACCTCTAACTTTGGTCAGTCTCAGAGTGTGCCGTGTGCCTCTGACTAAGTGGCAAGATGTGAGCAGTGGTGATCCACATCAAGAAAGAATCTGTACAGAAAAATCAGTAAAATCTACTCACCTTTACACCCCGACAGCCCACCAAGTGCCCAGGCGTTACTCTGAGTCTCCTCCATTTGATGGGAAGGGGTGGAAGACTAGTTAAACTGTGGCAAATAATAACCAACGTGTTTTCACATCTCAAATTCAGTTCATCCATAAGAGCTCACTGAGTGAACGCTGGATTCTTAGAAAAGCAAGTACAGCCCGATAGCAAACACTTATAGTAGCTCCGGGTTTGTCTCCTGGCGTTCTTTGGACAGTGGAGAGACAGACATCCAGGGGTATTTGGAAAGCTCCCGTTCGACCCTCTCTGAACTCCTGCGCAGCGGGTCCTTCCCGCCTCTTTAACGCCGTTCAGCCGTTAGATCAAGGCACTTAAAAGCCGAAGTGTGGTTTCAAAGGCTTCCCGAGACTGAAAGCGTTAAGAAACAGCGTCTGCCACCATTCAAGAGTGCCCTAATCACTGAGAAAGGCACCGCTCGTACGGGGCCTCGCCGGTCCTTCAGAGGGGCGTTGACCCCGGGAAGTGCGGGCGGAGCCCGGGGCGGGGGTTGACCTGGTCGCCCAGCGGCTGGGGCACTCCCCGCCGCGGGTTTTACCCTTCGCTTCCGCACATCCCCCTCAGCAGCCCCCGAAAAGAAGGGGGGCAGGGTCCGGACACCAAACCCGTCCCTTTCCACCTCTGTCTTCCTCCCTCCCCCGGCCATGCCCGCTGCTGCCGGCGCTCTGCCTGTCCCTCGGGCGGTGACAGGACCCGTCGCAGGGTCCCGCAAAAAGCCTTCCCGCGGGCCGGCCCCAGCCCGCCCAGCTCTCCCCAACAAGCCCAGCGCTCGCCTACGAGCCCGGCTCCTTGAACCCGGAGCCGCTCGCCCGGGGAGCGGCCCAGCACCATCCGGCCAGGCCGGGCTGCCCCGCCGCCACCCGCGGGAAGCGAAGAGCGGGTCCCGGTCGGCAAGCGTATTAAAATAAATAAATAAATAAATAAATAAAAATAATCCACTTCCAAAGCGCCCCTAAGCCAGCGCGTCCATTCTCGGGAGGGCGCGGAGCCGCCCCGCGATGCCGGGGGGCCCCGAGCACCCGGCGGAGCCCGGCCCCCGTCCCGCCCCTCCGCCGGAAGTTCCCGGCAGCCTTTCCTCCCGCCTCACCGGCCCCCCGGGAGCCGTTACCGGCCCGAGCCGCGCTGGGCTCCCGCTCGTCCCCCTACGCAGGGGGAAGGGAGGGTGCAGCCCGCTGCCAGCCGCCGCGGGGACCGGGCTGTACGGACCCGGCGGAGCACCAGCTGCGCTTCTTCCTCTTCTGCCCCTCTCTCCCGTCGCTGTAGGTTTATCCCCAGCTGGCCTTTATTTAGGTGGGAATTTCTCCCAGTGGGGTTTATAGGAGCCCGGGTTTTCTCACGTGTTAAGTGTTTTAGGAGCACGCTGCCCGATCCTAGGTTCTGTAAGGGAAGGCATACGCCTGCTAACACAGAGCCCACCCGATCGCTGTCGGGCAGAAATACTCTCCAGCAATAAACACTTTGGCTACTCAGCCCCCGATGAGAGCTCATGCGATAACCTCTCCGCGCCCCCAGCCTTTCGCATTTAACATAACTGACACCTTGGCGTTCACAGCACCCCACAAGTTCCCGTTTTGCCGGGGGATAGCAGGCACCGGGACCGGGTGGCGGGCGGGCTGTTACCCGCCCGGTGTCGTCTCACAGCCAGCTCGTCCCTTCGGCTGCTCAGCGTTGGAACGGGCTGAGCTGGAAATCCTCGCCAGCTGCTCCGAGAAAACACATCAGGCAGCGTTAGGGGTGAAGGATAAAACGTGGAGAATAATATTTATGGGCGGCAAATAGCACCGACAGAGAGGAAAGGCGGGCGAGATCGGTTTCCACGCCCGGGGGTGGGGACAAAAGGCAGCCCGGGGGACCGGGGCTCTTCCCAGCCCAGGACCCTTCGATGTCTGGAAAGGATCTCGAAAGGGAGGGCGAGCTCCCCGGGGACTGGCCGAGCCTGGGAAGCTGGACAGGTGATGCTCACGCTCGGCCTGAATTCCACTTCTCTGCGCATCCATGCGGGATCTTGTCCGGGGAGTGGGGGACTCCTTGTGTTGTCTCACCCTGGAAAACCTGTGCGGAGACCAGGCACCCCGGGAGCCCGGCTGGCCGATCCCATTGCCTTTCATTTGATAAATTCATTCCCCAGACACCATTAGAGCTACCGCTGGGGAGCAGATGGTTCCCCTCCGTCCCGAGGATCATCCCGGACAGATTGCATACATTTTATTAATAACCCAGCAGATGCTCGGGCACTTTCCAGCTCAGATTATATTTCCTGATTGCACAAATCCGGGCCTGGGGGAGCTGTTCATTTATCTTCCACTGCTCCTCTGTACCTTACCAGCACTGACTGGACAAGGAGGGAAAGGGTGAAATCCGTGTGTCCCCCGCCCCAGTCCTGCGTATAAGCATCCGGAAACTAAACGGGGCATGATGCCAGCCTTGGTTTGACCCTCGCAGCCCCTGTGTCCCAGAGAAAACCACCTCTGCATGGTGCTGGGGCTGCTCCACACCTCGCGGGCCCAGCACAGATGAGCTGTCGCGGCCCTCTGGTGCTGCTCCCTGCAGCGGGGCTGGGAGCCGGGGTGCCCGTTAGCAGCCTGCCTCACCGGTGCCTGGCAGGGACACATCTGTTGTGACTCTGAGTAAAACAGCAGGAGTCAGGATTGATGCCTTTTACTTCCCAGGGTTACGCTAACTGGGTCATGGAGAGCCAGGTTCCCCCTTTCGGAGCTGCTTTTCGACCTGCGGGGATCGCTGTATCGAGGTGAAACTAAAACAGCTTCATGAAGAAAACTGATACTGCCCTCAACACGAACTCCCCCAGTCTTGGGCAGTATGGGCAGCGAGACAGGCAGAGCTGAGGGCCAGTGACCCCACCTCCTGCACAGACACAGGTTCTGAAGAGAGGAGGGGGATGTATGGGGAGAAACTGCTTACACCCTGCAAGACCGCTCCTGGAACTAGATAAGATGCGTTGAGTTCCAGAAAAAAGCCATCACAGACCTTTCAGCTATGCTATGTTCAATTTTAATGTATAAAATGGGCTTTTCCTTGCTCTGCAGGGAGAAGCACAAAAGTAGCAGGTTGTTTATACTACTGAATAAACTAAATGTAGGTCTCTGAGGGATCTTATGCAAACCACTTACCTTGAAATACAATCTCATGGGAACGTGAGCTATAGATGCATGTTTAATGTTTTACATCTTCAGAGTAGCATCCAAGTGGCTGGCTCAGCACCAGTTAGCATTAGATATCACAGAAGGTAAGGGCTGTGGTTATAATTCAGAATGTAGAAGTCACTTGTAAGACATAAGTATCAGGACATTTGGGGTTGAAATTTAATGGAGCATGGTGTAGAAATTAATCCTAAAGGCTGAGGGCTTAAATTAAGTCTTAAAGCTGAAGGTTAATTGTTAAAGTGAGAGTTTGAACAGAAGGGGTATGTATTATTAGAATGTGTGCCATAGTGTAGTTTTAAAATAAAAATAGGAAGCATGGCAATCTTTTCTGCTCAGTGGCAGCTGGACTTGGTAAAAGACACTTCTGTGAATGCAGGTGAGAGACACTCTCAGCAATAACAGCAGAATAATATTGACGTCTGTTACATTTTTCATAGCTCCTGACATTTGCAATATAATTCCACATCCTTGCTTTCTCCATGCTCCCCATGCCCAACAGATTTAGTGCAGGGGTGAGTTTTCATTTTAGCCTCTGTAAGTAAAGCGTGAGAATTATGCAGTTGCAGGAAAAAATATTCCTTCCTCCTTGCTCTCTTGTTCTGGGAGGGAGAATCAGGATGTAAAAGCTGGGAATGTTGTTTTAAAATGACCAGTGAGCATGAGGTTATGGGGGATTACGGGCTATCAGAGATCGAGCTCTTTGCAATTTCAGGTGGAAAGCACCCTGCTTCCATAGCAATTTTCTTTCCTATCCATAGGTTCCCCTAATACCACATTCCCTGAAATGTCCACCAGAAGAAAGGGTATAGAGGAAAATTCCAACACTGGTACAGGGTTCCTGGTCAGATAATGGCTATTTTATCCAGTTTTCAATGTTCTGCCCATCTTGCTTCATTTTTTTCTGTAACAACTACAAATAGTATCCCATGGCAGAAATTCTCATAGGCTGTTAAATTAGACAAATCTCCCACTGTATCTTTTTCTTTCACTTTCCTTTGCAGCACACCA